CGTGGTTACACTTTAGATCTGGGATATTATTCTAATTATATTTTAGATTTCCGCTTTCAAAGATTATAAAAAGAAGACATTTGAGATGAAACCATTACAGACGCATTCTGTCTAGCGCAACTTCCTTCCCTTCACAGCGTTGCGCTGTCATTTCTTCCTAAAACCCAAACGTACCGTCAGAATCAGCACGATCGGTGATTGTTGTAAAATGCAGTCTGTACTGTTGCTAAACTGCGGACGCGTTCAATCATTAAAAGAGCTACTAAAAGCACAAAAGTCTGCGCAAGAGACGTTGTTCACGACGCGCGACGCGCGCTCCGAAATGCACTAAAACGAGACAAGAAAAGTAGGCTATCGCCTCATTTTGGGCTTCATGTGCGCATGCATCTAAACCATCAAATATACATAAAATATAAAATGACCTGCTCTGAGATTCATTTAAACACAGTTTATGTCTTAATTGGACGTAAATAGTTGGGAGAAAATGATGGTGCATCAGTCATCTATTACAGTAGAGTTCTGCATTCGGTCTTAAAGGGGCAGTAGTCTAATAAACGTGACGATTGAGCCAATGCGAATCAAACAACAAAAGGCAGATACAAATCACTCACAGCTCTTGAATGAATAACTTAAACTTTAATTAGCATTAATCTAACTATGATAAACTATGCAGTGTCATTTTACATTTGATTACTAGCTAAATTAAATTTCTTTTCAGAGAGAGCGACAGACTTAACTGAAAAGTAGCTAATTTTAGACCTTCCTGAAATTAAAGCACTGTGTATATAGGCTAATTTGTATCTTTGTTTAATTGTATTCTTTGTTTGACCATGTGTTTGTACTTGTTTTTGCTTATCTCATGTATATATGCATACTATGATATTTTATACATTTTGTGACTAGCCTAAAATGTAACTGGTCGTATTTTGCATTAACACCTAGCGGTGGATGCACAGTTTGAAGACCCAGTCAGTGACGTCACAATATGCATTTTTTTTTAAAATTCACGATCACCATCTCCAAAATTGTACCTTTTTTTTTTACACTGAATCTTGGAAAAAAAAATATAGACCTACCTACCGACCCTTTTTTTTTTAAAAAATTGCTGTTACTGCAAACCAAAATATTTTTAAGGATGGCCTAAACTCCAAACCACAATGACTAAGTGTGTGTTTTTTATTTTAATTGTTTGTCAGCTCGCACAAATGTTTGTCACCATGCCTTGATGAGTATTGATTATTAATAATGTTATTAATACTCCCAATCAACTACTGCGGAGGGTAAAGGTACTGTTATTTCACCCTTTTTAATTTCGTTGAGGTTGTGTTCCCACATCGTTAGCTAGTTTGGATCGCTATAACTTGAATGACTGTCAACTGTTGAATGAAGGAGTGTCAAGCATGTCAAGTCGCGCTTTGTTTACTTTCAACCGGAAGTCGCGCCCACTTTTGATGCAAGGCCTCATGGGGCGTAGGAAACTTGTGGATACACCATTGTTCGGTTCACCTAAATAGATGCTGCCTCTGCTTTATTGAGCTAGAGCATAGATTCTCTGCCTGAGCCCGAACTTGACCCGACCCAACCTGCCGATATTTCCTGCTCACTATCCTCGGGCCGGGCCTTTATCTAGAGACGTGCAGTCCGAACGCAATAGAGTGCGGCGGAGGATTAGATTTGATGGCCGAGTGCGAGCGCGGGCGTCGGTCGCTCACTCTGTGTGTGCGCGAGTTGCGGGAGAATAAACTGATTTGCGGTACTCCTGCAAACTAGAAATATCTATGAATAAAATCTAAAAACGAATACATTTTTATTCGTCTGTTGCAGAAAACCAACAAGAACAACTAAAACAAAATAGAAATGATTTACAGGCTCGAGTTTAGCGTTGAGCGATGTAGCCAATCACAGTCATGTCATGTGTGTTGATTTCTTGAACGCAATGGCCAATCAGAAGCATTTACGATAGACTCCCCTCACTGCTCAAAACTGACTTTTTGTTCAGTGCTGAATTCTGTATGCTGGCAAATCCTCGAATTATAACAAACAAAGTGTGGATTTTATGAAAGATTCATTGATAATAACAGAGATGTGTGAGATCGCGATGAACTGTCAGCTTTTTAAGAATTATTAAGGGAGCGCACTTTGAGCGCATTCAGTCATACCAAACCAGAAGCCTGCTCATTTTATTTTATAACAGTGGTTTGTGTGTTAATGCTTTAATAACAAATAATTTATCAGGAGCATTTATGCTGATGTGTATGATGGCGACACGTAGACTTACTTGAAAGTATTTGGATGTACAGAATAAAAGTCTGTGGTGGGAGCGGGATAAAACGTATGTTACAGGCGGGAGAAAGTAACATAGAATGTAGTTGAGAATGTCATGACCCACGTATTAAAAAATGGTCAGGTTTAAATTACAATTACTTAAATAAAATTACTTGATTACTTAAAAATACTTAAAATTACTTAAAATTACTTAAATTACGGGCTCCGGTTCATATTACAGTTAATGTCTCTGCGTTGATTTTTGGGCCCGATCTCTAAGTTGAACATGGACACTCCAATGTTTGGGTAAGATGATGACATGTGGTGTGTAGTCATCATGCTAGGTAAACTTAAGTTTTAATATTTAATCTTCAATGATGGTGAACTTGCTCAGCCAGCTACCCATCAAGTAAAGAATTACTCGAATGAATTACTTTTTTCTTTACTTGGATTTTTTCTTTAATTTTAGAGTAAACGCCCACATTTCTACGAATTTTGTCACTATAGGAGCGACTCTTTGCATTAAGATTCTTTATGAATGGGGTTTTTTTTATGTATGGGCCCAGGGTTTTTACTCTGGCTTACCTACCTTTAAAGGGACTACTGAAGTAGGCTACTAGAGCAAAAAAGAGTTGCACCAATATATATATGTGTACAGAAACACAAATATACTGTATGTGAACAGAAAGCAATTTATTTTTTCTATCAGCTGACCTGCTGCAAAGTCAGTTGTTTGATTCAGTCACTGCATTTCAGCATTTGACTCATGTTATACACACGGCGTGGCACCGAAAGTGCAAAAATTAGCAGCTGAAGTGCGAGTAGGAGGGTCCACGCGTGAATACTGAGGCTCATGTGTGGTTATATGTATGTGTATGAGAATAGCTTAAAGTGTGTGGGTGCTGTGATAACACTTTTTTGAAGGTGCGATTGTTAATTTGGTGCGGTTTTCGAAAAATGTTAAGCTCATCTGGACACGCCCTTGGCCTCCATTTCCTTCAGTAGCTTATGCGGTCGCTTAAACAGAAAGTTCTTCTCTGTCCACTTCACTGCTGGAGGAAAGAAGAAACAAGAACAATACAAATGTGGCTTAGATGAGGCATTTGTCATACTTCCTTTGTCACTATATATATTTACCTTATTTCAAGACCTGCTAAACACCAGGGTCCATATTGATAAACACTCTTAATGCAAAGAGTAGCTCCTAGTGTCACAATTCTAAGAAAATTCTTAGAAATGTGGGTGTTTTCTCTTAAAATTAAAGAAAAAAATCCTAGTAAAGAAAAAAGTAATTCAGAAGCATCTTAACCCTTAAAAGAGGTCTTGAGGTCAAAATTGTTAGGAGCATGGACAAGGACTTAAGAGTTTCTTTAGCAGAGGAGAATATGGCAGAGAGACAAAGAGGGAGAAGAAATGAGATCCAGACAATGGATGACAGTGAGTTAATAAGACGCTATAGATTGACACCCGGCCTTAAAGTTAATTCACTAATTGGGCTAACAGTAAACGCTGTTCCTCTCTTCAGTCGGGCTTTCTCGTTCTTCTTGGTTTTGATTCCATGTTTGTTACATTAAAACCAACATTAACCACCATTTAAATAGACATGCCAGCAATCAGTGTACTTGGAAAGAGTGGAACAATTTTTTATCATTCTAAGCCAATCAAATATCTTATTGGAAATTAACAGCATAGGAAATCAAATTTAAAAAGATGTATATACACGTATATAATGTGTGTTTGTGTGTGTGTGAGAGACAGAGAGAACCATACAATAGGTAAAATTATGCATGTAATTTTAAAGTGAAGGGTTAGAATAGAGCCTAAAGTTAAAATCACACTTTTTTGTCTTTTCTTGGACAACCAACCAATCACAGTCTTCAAAAGATTGTGTCATACATAGCAATGGAGTCTTACCCCGCCTCCTCACTAAGATGAAAGTTTTTGTCTTTTCCTTACTCAAGAGTTGCTCTCAGATCGGTCCCGAATCGTTCTTAATCTAAGACTCCTACGTAAAGATTCTTAGAATCTTTATGAATACGGGCCCAGATGATTTTTTTATTATGTCTGAGAATTCGAAAGGGTGTACTTTTTTATGTAAAAGTAAAAAAATTAATATATATATATATATATATATATATGTGTATATGTTATGAGCCAAATACAGGTGGATTTCAGATCTGTGGCATGTAGCGCAGTCACTACTAGCCACGTCAGCGGGTTGAATTTTACATATAAATTTTTCAGTTGTAGTCTTTTAAAAAGGCATCTGAAATAATAAACTAATTGCAACGCAGTGTTGTCAAAAATATTGATTTTTTTCAAGACATATTGATACAGGATACACAATATCAGCTGCGCATTCTCACTCTCAAGAGTCAAGTATAAGTTCATACAATCAAATTTCCATTATAACAATTAGGTTGACTGGAAAATGTTCTGAAACCAAAGTGAATAAAAAAGTAAAAATAATATACTAATAAAAACAGAATCAACAATTTAGAAAGAGGAGGTACATTCCGACCAGCGATTGGTCATGATGTGGTTGGTGTGGGGGCGAAACTCTACCTGCGATATTAATAAACAATTGACTTCTAGAGTATCAATAGTAAGTGCCATCATGAACGTCACACAGACAGCACCATAACGACTATCTGTTTACATAATCAAAGTTACCTTAAAAATAAAACTATTAATTGTTTGTTACAATTATTAGAAATTATATAAACAACAATACGTGTAGCAACCACTTCTTTTTATTTTAAATAATACATACTCATACATTTATTATGGCCACACATTTTAATTAATGTAATGAAACGATAAAAAAGTAAATAAAAGTCAATTATAAAGTCAAGTAAATCGTTTTCAATATTTATATTATATATACAGAAACCCTCCACTTTTACCATCTTTGCTCTGTATAAAAGTTGATTTTGAACAACTGATCTGCAAACAGTTTCCTCACCAAAACACTTATTTATTATTATTATTTTTTTAACCATCACTTGGTAACTGGTCACAGATCAGCAGCCGACTTTAACTTCCATCTTGGTTGCTTTCATCTTAATGAGTTGTTTTACATCCATCCTTATTCGGTTCTGAAGCCAACTTGACCAAATCTCTATTTCAACTTTCAACTGCAGTTTTGGGATTTTCATTGAGTGGCGAAGGATTCTGGAGCATCAGAATGGCAGCTATGTGGGAACTGGATCTGTTCGGCACAGGCTTTCAGATTGTGCACTTGTTGCTCTATGTGGGAGCGAATCTCTTAGCTTGTGCCCTCACACGCTTTTCGTAGTCCATCCTGTTTTGACTGTAGGAGAATGAGAGAGAGATAAGATCAATGATGTGGGCTTGGCAGCGGTTGACAGTACAATGTAATATTAAAAGGTGCACGTAATGTTTAGCTGAACTTTACCAGTATGTCGTATATGCCTCTGCCTGTGCTGGGTCCTGAATATTGGGCTCATTAAGAAGTTCCTGGATGCCCAACAAAATCTACACAGCCACAACAACAAATGACATACAAAAGCACTGTTTATTGGCCCAAAAGGTTTGTTCAAAATGATTTATGATCAACAATGATTTCCAAGTATTTTAATCATGATTAGGTGTACACAACCATTCAAAAAGTGTGGGGTCTGCCAGTTTTTTTTGTTTTTTTTAATTTATAATGTTAAAAAAGATGTCTATTTATTTTGAAATTTCAATTCATGAACGAATCCTGAAAAAAATGGATCACGGTTTCCACAAAAATATAAAGCAGCACAACTGTTTTCAACATTGATAATAATAATAAATGTTTCTTGAGCAGCAAATTATCATATTAGAATAATTTCTGAAGAATCATGTGACACTGAAGACTGGAGTAATGATGCTAAAAATTCAGATTTGCCATTACAGGAATAAACAATAAAATAAATAACCATAAAAAACAATGCCTTTCATTTTTTACAGAGCCTCAAACCTTTGAACGGTAGTGTATAACTAGTGTATTTTTACATACTTGTTTGATGGTGATGGCTGGTCTCCAATCCTTCTCTTCTTCCAGTATGGACAGACACACTGTACCTGAAGGATAGACGTTTGGGTGGAAGATCGGGGGTTCAAACTTGCCTGAGAAGAACAAAATCAAAACGTTAGGTTTGTTTCCACAATACATATTGTTTTATAGCAGCTTAAAAACAGTCTTTAAGTGCTAATGAACAGCTTTACAAAAAATATGCAAACGGTATAATCAGGGTTCAACAAATAAAACACCTGTAAAAGGTGTGGTGACAATGACATTAATAGGCAATATAAAAACAAACTTTTAGAGTATAACATCTCTTATAGAGGAGAAAACTCACATTTGGGTGGTGAAGATGGATAGTCATCCTTAAACAACATTCTCAGTTTGTACAAACCTCCCTCCCAAAGAGTCTACAGGACACATAACGACAGATTTTAAAACTCTGGTAAATTAAAATTGGTTCACAGTTCAAACATGATATTTGTCTCTGAATTAAAAATAAGGTAATACAAGCCTACTACAAAAACACTCACAAACATATATTAAAATTAATATTTTTTATTTAAGACATTATTATTATTTAACCTAGACAAATTATGTATGTACACAAAAGACAAGACAGATCTGCATGTATACCCACCAATCTAATATGTACAGATACAATTATGCAAGGGAATGTAAATAAGAAAAGGAGTAGGACAAATATACCCGTGTACAAATGTTAAATATAAGTATAAAAATTACCCCTGGCATATATTCTGATTGAGGCTTAATCTAGAACTCTATGTTCCAGTTTCACAGACAGCGTTTAGATTAAACCAGGATTAGGCCTTAGTTCAATTAGGGAATTTAAATTCATTTAAGAAACGACACCTTTAATTATTTTAAGATGTCGGATCAAGTTACTTTCAGTTAAAACAGCTCAAACATGCATTTTAGTCTGGATTAGATTTAAGGCTTGTCTGTGAAACCGGAGGTTAGTAAATGGATCTAAAACAGGGTTCCCCAAAGCTCCAACCCTGATCAAACACCTTGATAAGCTTGTTCAGGTGTGTTTGACCAGGGTTAGAGCTAAACTCTGCGGGGACAGTGACCCTCCAGGACCAAGTTTGGGGAACCCTGATCTAAAACTTATTTTAGGCAGGGATTTGTTTGAGAAGAAAGATGGCCGATTTGGAAACTAACCCCCTTTTTCCCTGGTATCGCACACTCCCAATTCATGAGATTCATGGTGCCATCTGGGTTCTTGGTTGGTACAGCCACAAAACCCTACAGAGAAACAACAAAAGGTACCACAACTCAAAATATAGTTCTGAATTCTATATATTTTTCAAGTTCTGCACATTTGATCTTGTGTATTTGTGAGTCCCTTACAAAAGGATGATCTTTCCTCCAGGCTTTCCGCTCCTGTGACAGTCTACTCAAAGCAATTCCAGACATGACTCAACAGCGCCACCCTGCGGGTAGAAAAACACATCAGCAAACGTGTCGTCGGTGCATCCGTAAAGAGAGAAATACACATTAAAGGTGAGCTTATAAGAATATAATGTCTAAAGATAAATCACATGAACTTTTAGGTTCAACCACTTTCAATTTTGTGAGTGCTACTACTTAGCAACACTCATATCATCATTAGCATCATACGCCACTAGCTGTCAACAATTAACGTTAGAGTCGCTCGCTGGCTTACCTTAAACAAATGTTTTAAAATACCTTTCCAGCCAATACCAAACGGTTTTAGTCAATGGTTTTAGCGAACTCCAAAACAAAATCTCGAAAGTTAAAGCGATCCAAAGGTGTAACGTTAGGGAAGAGACCTCGAGACCACTTAATGCTCACGGATCCACCTAGCGCTTGATCATCAACTGTTTGATTTTGAAAATTAAAAATCCACATAAATTTGCCAAACTAGTCGTATAATAGATTTAAAATTACATCTAGATTTAGTCTAAAATGCCTGGAAAATAGACAAACAACGTTGAGTCATGAAGACAGTGGAATGGAGAGTAGCGTCTATTTGTTTTTATTCGCAGGACCATCAGGCAATAATAGAGGCGACTATGGATGCGTCCATTTAAAATGTTGCACGAGGGAAGAACTACAGTCTATGGGGTAGAAAGACTGAATTTTGACAATTCCACGCGGAAGATCCACATTACCTTTATGTGTAAGCTGATATAATTCAGCATTGATTGCAATATGATAAAATGCCCCTTATGCGTGTGTTGTTGAAACTATTAAATACTGGCACACAAGACATGAGATATATGTATATTGCATTTATTAGACACACAACCTGGTTTGGTCACTAATTATAGTTAGCTTTATTTTTTTAACCAGAAAAAAAAAGAGCTTAATAGCCTTTTTGTGCAATCATTTCAGATCAGAATGAGGCTTCTTGTGATTCCATTAGTCATCAGTTCTTTATTCCCGAAGAAAAGGTGTTGTACTGGTTTAAGAAACCATCATGGCTGTTTTCCTTTTCCCTCAGAGATCACATGTTCAGGTGCAGCCTTGGCGAACCACTCGGACCACGCTCCATCATACAGACAGACCCCCGGGTGGCCGCACAGGTGAGCGGCGAGGGCGATGTGACAGGCTGTCACTCCTGAGCCACAGGTAACCCAGAAGGGCTTCTGCATGTCAACTCCTGCCTGCTGGAAGAGCTTGGTGAGTTCCTCCACAGGATGTTCTAGACCTGATGTCGAGTCCATGAAGCTGGGAAAAGGCATGTTGATCGATCCAGGAATATGACCAGGCTCTGTGTCTAAGATATAAAACAGAGAAATGTAGAAAAATAAGACAATGGCACTTTGGTATTTTTGATAAACAAAAAAATAAATCTTATGTCTATAAATAAAACTTTGATTATTGTACCTTGTGTTATATTCTATAAGAGTACTTAAAACATATGTGAATGTGGTTACAAAATGCATGTAATAAAATATACAAAAGCTAGAAAGTGATTTAAATAGTTTTAGATTAAGTATGGCACTGTATGACATTGCTTATACTGTATTACTGTGGAGAATTAAAACTATAACAATAGTTGAAATAACTGATAATAGAAAAGTGGTAGTGTGCATTGATTCATAGACTGATAGCATCTTTTTTCACTTTCTTATCTTGTACCATAAAAATCAGCCAAAATAAACATTTGTAATGTCACACAAACAATAAAACATTGGATATTCTAACAGCATTGGATATTGTACATTATGATGTAAGAGTAGTTCACACACACACACAAAAAAAAATCCATTTGAATGTATAAGGGAAAGTGCTTTTGAATGCTTACCTTTTTTTAAAGAAATATTCCATGTGGTCACAAAAATGCATTTATAATAATTTTACAAATGTTAGAAAACGTTGCTTAAAATAGTTAACACTGAAAATTTGTTGCTACAAATATCGAAACATTCTTAAATCAAGATATTACTTGAGAAGAAAAAAAAGACATACAATTTAGATATTTCATGTCTTTTTTTCTTCTCAAGTAAATATTTAATACTGTTTAGATATTTACACTAGGAAAAAAGTGTGTGACCGGTCACCATACTTACTTGACCTTGGCTCTGGTTCAACCCCACGAAATCTTCCATTGGCTCTGGCGTCGACTACTTGAAATTCATTCGTTTTAATGTTGTTCAAAACGTCTTCATAAGTTTTGACCCAGGACTTGTTAAAGGACGCTTTGAACTCGGCACGCTCTGGTTTACTATATTGCTCGGTAATGGGATGACCCTCTCTTAACCAGTTCTTTAATCCACCGTTCAAAACCGACACGGAATTGTGTCCAAACACCCTAAACATCCACCACACCCGTGGTGCAGAGAACGAACCAAAATCGCTGGCATCGTAAACGACGACATGAGTGTTGTTCCCTATTCCCAGCTTACCCACATAATTTGCGAACTCGCCCACGGTAGGCAGCATGTGATCAAACTCGGAGCTTTTGTCATTACATTCGTCGATGTCGAAAAACGAAGCTCCAGGAATGTGAGTTTGTTCAAACTCGGCCCAAGCATTTCGTTTCGTTTTAGGTAAATACCAAGATGCATCTAATATCCGCAGATTTGGTCCCAATCGGTTGCTTTTGACAGCGTCCGCAAGCCATCGCGCCGCTACGAGAGCTCGAGTTTGAGCAGCCATGTCACTCGCGCGCTGCACCACTGCACTACAACCTCTCGACGGCAGTCTATGCTGCAAATGCCGAGTGAATTACTGTTAAAGTATTACATTGGTGTGATATTTTGTTGACGGGAAAAGAGGGGATCTAAACAATGAGCTTCTTAAAAATTATTTAACTTAAAATTACAATCTAATTTGATTTTGTATTAAGTACGCATATAACATTGCTAATAAATCTCTGAAACATGTGTAGGTAAAGCGCGAGGGGGTATAGCTCAGTGGTAGAGCATTTGACTGCAGATCAAGAGGTCCCCGGTTCAAATCCGGGTGCCCCCTGCTATATTTATTACTTTTTTGTGATTTGTCTTTTAGTATCTTCAGTGATCAGTGCATTCAGTAATTAAATACATTTCAGCCATATAAAATTAGTACAATGGCTAATGTATTTCTAATGTAAAAACGCTTGCACAGGTATAGATTTGAGGGGTTATTTTTTTTTAAGTTTTCAAACATGTAAGGCATGACTGGATGTGTCAAAAAGTTCACTCCATTCCAAAGATAAATATTCTTGTTTTCTAAGCAGTAAAGAAATGCATAAGAAATACAACAATGTTGGAAAGAATTGAGTGCAAGTGATGTTTTAATGGATGCAAAGGTTTAATAGTGCTAGGTTTCTGAAATAAATTAACTGAATCACTTGAATACCTGCACCGTGATGATGTATATATAATATGAAATTAGTTAGCTCTCTGACTACAATAGTGGTAGCTGTTACAATTTTCCAACAGACTGTTTCATTCATCTGGTTTAGCTGAGTTTAGCTGTGTCATGTTTTTTGGTTATGCTTACTTGTGATGTTTGTTATGTGTACATGGTTACTATAATGTGACTTGTGTGAAAGAGGAATTGTTTTCTTTCACTGAGTGTTATTGTCAGTTTGTAAAAGACATTATTAGCTTGTCACAGGGTATGCATTTCTTTGGGAGTCATGCGAATATAATTACTTCATGGTATTGAAGGTTTTAGAGCAGTTCTAATCCTTTTAGATATTGATACAAATAAACTGTTTAGTGATTCCCATGCCTTTACGGTGTAAGCAGAACTATTCATTTGATGATTCAGTGTTTAATGTGCTCTCTCACTCATCATCAGTTAAAATATTTGTCCAGCTTCATGGCAAAAATTTAAGTTATCACATATTTTGTAGGCTATACTTGTTCTTGTTTTTGGTTGATGAGCTCATTGTTTATTGTTAAAACAATTAAAAGACATTAAGGGTGATTTATCTGCATTTTATTATTATAATAGTAAAGAATGTTAGTGAGTTTTATAATACAATTTTTATTCAGTAAGTCAGTAAGCCAGTTTGTAATACATTCATATAATATTTTAGGAAAGTATTAAAACAGAAAAGGAGAGCAAAAAAGATACAGAGAAAGAGATAAAAAAAAAGAAAGAAATACAGTGCTGTGGTATGTAAGTGCAGTATTTAAAATTCTGCAATACGCAAAAAGGTACATCAGTTCTTACAAACACATTTTAATCTTAACTAAAACATAGTGGGTAAACACAATAAGTATAGTAGAAACTGATTTACACCAAACAGTATGTAAAAAAAGAAAGAAGAAGAAGTGAATTAAGGCCAACTCAACATTAAATATTCTGTTGTCAAAAATGTAACAATCTGAAATGTAGTGTAGTTATAGTATAACTTTTATTTCAAGATTTCATATCCTTATTCTTGCTAAAATTCTTAAGTATATTTGGTATTGATTCCATACATTATATGCCATCTATAACTGTGTAAAGTTCACTGTGTAAAGTCCTTGCACACGTTGTAGACTTAGAGGACCTATATGTACCATTTATGGCATAAACTTTTTAGCTTTCAGTCTGGGTATGATTTGCATGTCCCTGACATCATTGTGCTGCAGAAGCCAGCACAGGTATCTCTCTGAGCCCATACCCCATCCACTTGTTTGAAGAGGGATGGCTTGACGCATGTCGATGTACCATTTGTAAGAGTCCTCTGGTACAGCATGGTGTTGTAAGGCCTCTCGTACCATTTCAGGTGTAGAATGACGTTCCCCAAGCCCTACTGTCTCCCCTAACCCCAAGAGAAGGTCAGCAGCCTTGGCTTTGCTTCTACCTGAACCTTCAATATATGCTTGGTAGAAGGGCACTCCAAGATGGTCCATTTCTGTCAGCCAAACAGCACCTCCATACTTTTTAATTAGGACCTTTTCTCCCTTTCGAGTTAGCTTCCTGCCAAACTGTGGTTGTCCCTCCTGAACCCACTCAAGGCAATCAGAGGATGGCATAATGTTAATGGCTTGATCCAAAGGTACTCTTGGAAGAGGGTTTTCTAAGTTCTTCAGTAGTTCTTGGGCATGAGATAGTGTACCAGCTGTGTTTAAGATAATGTCGGAATGTTGCTTTACCATTGCCTGAGTCAAATGTGCAACATAGCCTTCAGCAATTGTCATGGCAGCATCCATGTCGCCCAGAAGCTCGCATTCCACATGGTAGAACTGGTTGAGATGTGTAGCGTCAGGATCCTCCCCTCTGAAACTGGGGGACACGTAGTAAGCCCCAGGAAGACCATCATGAAACCTCATAAAGTACTCTAAAACAAACTGCATAGAGTCTGCCAGATATACATCTTGGCCCAACATGTTGACAAACACTGGCTCAGAATCTGACCCCAGACCCATTGGAGAGGAAATTGTGTCAGTTGTGATAGGTGTCAGTGCATAGGCATACTTGCATTTGTTGTTGAAGTACTCTACTGTGCTATGAAACAGGGTGTTTTGGATTTGAAAAAGGTTGCGATACCATTTGCTCTTGATGGCTAATGCTGCATGAGTCTGGGGGTCTTCCCATGACTGAGGTGGAGTAGTCTTTGTTATCTTGGTGTAGATCTCTGTAAGGTCCTCTTTGTTAGCTGGAGGACCATCTACTGATGTTACATATCCTGTGTAAGTTGGGCAGAACTGAGAAGCCACAACTGGGGATTTGGGGTCATTAGGCTGATGAACTAATGGAATCAGTTTGGCATGGGCATAATCAAACTCAAACCCTTCAAATATGAGAGCTACACAATGGGCATTCATTCCTTCTTGCACAAGATGAGCAACCTTTTGTATTGCCACGAGTAGGGATGTATAGTCGCTCTCCTTCAGACGGAAGATGTCACTGGTAAGAGGTTTTCTTGGCACTAGAACTGTAAAGCCTGGTGTGTTTGGAAAAGGAGTAAGGAAGGCTACATGTTCATTGTCTTCCCAGACACGCCACTGTTGCTCTTCACCACGAATAATGCGGGGGAAAAGGCTGGTATCAGAAGGATCTCCATGGAAGTCAAAGCAAGAAGGGGCATTGGATGTAGGTAGTCGAGAGCGAATCTTTGCCTGCACCTGGTCAAGAAGAGTATCTTCACATCGGGGACCATTTTTGGAGCTACAGTATCCAGGATCATAAGGATTGAACTCCATTTCCTCAGCTGTTTGAGGTTTCCAGTTTGGTTCTAGGTCATGGAGAGGCAAGATTTTGATGTAAGCTGGCTTGTCATGTTCTGGCATGGACACAAGGGCGCAGCGATGCACAGAAAGTTTCTCACAAAGGAGATTGGCAACTAACTGTGCCCCCTGCATCATTGCTATGTAGTCAGGTAACACTAACTGAAAGATGCTACTAGGTCCATTCATAGTCTTTCGAGTGAGAATAGTGGCTCCTGGGGTCCAAGGATTAGACTGTAGGTGAGCTACCAATTCATTAGTCTCCCAAATCACATTCATAAACTCCTTCCTAGGTCTTAAAACCTCAGTTCGAGGAATGCCACTGACCATTGAACCAACAAACATGACCCCAGCATTGGTTTCAATAACGGCTTCACCGTGATGGTCCACAGCAATAATTCCTGCACACTTTTCTTCCAGATCATTGTTGATAACTTCTCGACAAGCCTGTCTGAGACTGTAACCTTTGAGGTTGTATAAGCTGGCTACTTTGTGAGCAACTGTTTGGCGTAAAAAGGCATCACCATCACCAGAGCATGTCACGGCTAGTTTCTCATCGGCATAAATTCCTGCCCCAACTATGGCGGTGTCACCGACTCTGCCTTTCCACTTGCCAACTAAACCTCCAGTGGATGTGGCTGCTGCTAACTTGCCCCACTTATCCAGCGCAACTGCACCTACAGTTTGAGGATGGTTATTCTTGCCATCATCTGACTTCATAAGCAACTCCTTGTATCTTATATCAGTGTCAAAGTACTCTGATTTTAGTGTTGTTTCTTTTTCTCCAAGACTGTGTACAAACTCTTCGGCACCTTCTCCAATCAGTAAAGAGTGCACACTCTTTTCCATAACACAGCGGGCTGCTTTTATTGGGTTTTTCAGTCGTCGCAGGCAAGCCACGGATCCAGAGTTCTTCCCATGTCCATCCACAATGGTGGCTTCCATTTCATGCTCCCCATCTTTGTTATATACTGATCCCTTGCCAGCATTAAACAAAAAACAGTCCTCCAATGCAACTACACTTCTTTGTACTGCATCCAGACTACTACCTCCATGAAAAAGCACTTGTGCTCCAAGAGTTAGAGCTGTTTGAAGGGCAAATTCAATGGTCCCAATCACCTTCTCATTTAACATCATTTCCTCTCCTGCCCCACCATGGATCACTAAAGTGAAATCTGGCTGCATGTTTTTTTGCTCCTCAGCTCTGACTGCATCATCCACGGAAGATCTATTTACTAGTTTTTCTTTATTGTCTTGCAGGAGACATTCAATGGCTCCCATCTGCCCTGCAATGGCATACCTTAGTGCCATAAGCATTACTAGTTTTAGATTGAACTCAAGTCTTTCTTTGAGATTTCCCAGGACATTGGCGAAAGTACCCTTTCCATTCAGGACTAGACGTACTTTGTCCTTCCTGCCTAGATATGTGACAGCCAGCTGGTCTGTAGCGTAGACGTTACCAACAGCACACTCAACTCCCTCCATTAGATCTGACCCAGTCAAGTAAATCGAAGGGCATCCAAAAGGGTCAAGAAACTTCTTGAGTGGATTATCTTGAGACATAGATCTGCGCAAGGCTGCCAGATGAGGCCCCACTCCAAGGCCAAGTTTTGTAGCTTTGATTAGGTTTTTGTGCTCTAAAAAAGCAAGGTGAAAGAGCTGGAAAAGCTCATTTGTGTACTGGGGAACATTGTCTGGACCAATGCAGGATGCCAGTGCTGTAACAAGCTGGTGAGATCTAATCGTTGTGGAGTATGTGGGATCACAGCGGCCATGTTTAAAGTGACGCATGTGAGTAGGTGTCACCATGATGAGACTAGTAGCTGCATCGCCAAGTGTTTGCCTCAAGGACAGCTGCAAAGTGAAATTAATCCATGCATCATATAGACATCTGTGACCCCTTAAGGTGGTGAACACATCAGGGTAGGATGATATTTCAAAAGTCATGACTGACTGGCTGGCTTGTAGAAGACTAGAAACAGACTGATTCGGCACAGTTATTCCTTTCAGAGGCATTTTCAGAGGTTTAGGGTGAACAGAACCAGCATTTGAGAATGGACCTAACTTATTGTTTTGCATGTTAAGTACTATGTTTTCAGATTCGGAGAACTGCCACAGACGTTCAACAAGAAGCCCAGCTACCATTCCATCCAGGGCACTATGCTCAAACAACATGCCTGCTTGTCCATCTTTAAAAACCACCAAGTTCACCACCTGTTGATGAAGATGGTAAATAGTTATGTCATTCTGTCATTCATATTCACATTACAGCCAGTTGAGTCTGATTTAACCATTGTTATGGGAAGTCATATAATCCACGAATTTCAAGAGTACTGTACTTTACAGTACTTAATTTTATCTTAATAAAACAATTTTGTTAAATACCAAATTAGCATTTAATGCACTGAATTATTGAAAAAAGTAAAGCTTTTAAAAGAAGTTTCAATTCAATTCAAATGTCAAATGTCATTTCTGAAATTTGACAAACCCCAATTGGTGTTGGAAATTAAGTTTACTGCTTTACAGTTCTAATTTTAAGGTTCTAATTGTATAAATATCCTAATTTGTTTTTACACACCTTATCATAGTATCTCAAACATCTGCTGTCTTTCTCCCCTAGGCGGACTGTATTAAGTATTCCTGCAAGATCAGCCGGTGCTGGTTGGTCTTCCAGGGAAACAGCTAGAATGGCACTCTCCATCATTTCAAGTGAAACTGCTGCTTCACCCCCTGCCTTTAAGATATCCATTCTCACAGAATGCCAGGCTTGGCGATGAAGAGAAGACAGACCACAAATAACGGACGGGTCTTGTTCGGGGGGCGCTTCTGGGTGTCTCATTGCATGCACCAGTTGGGCGTAGATGTCATTGAGAGGTAGAGCAGAAAGAGATTCCTTTGAACTTGGTTTCCATACAATTTGAATCGGAAATATACCCCCTCGACAGGTCAATATGGCGTGAAGGCTGTCTGGGTATGTCTGGAACATTTAGGCAAATAAGATTTCATTAAGATGAGTGAAATTGGTCATTAAAATTAGTTTCAATTATTTAAAGTAACTTAAAATAGTAAAAACTGGGGGTTAATTGGAAATAAATACCTTTAGCTCATCATGGTTCTTGCCTGGTAGGCGACTAGCGGCAAAAACCTGTGACTGTTGTGTTCGCTCAGTTGGTACATCCCCTTCCACCAGCAATGGTTCACTGTACAGCTTAGCAGCTGCCCACAGCAGAGCCGTAGCCCGCTCTATCTGTGCAAACTCCCCATTTAGCTTGGAGGAGGGCAGGATGGAGGGAATAGCGGTGGAATTGGGCAGAGGGTCATAGCAGGAGAGCAGACGCTTTTTGAATTCCTCAGTCACCCAGTTCTCACGTCCAGAAGCGTGATCTTTCAGATGTTTTTGGACTTCTTGGAGTACATCTCTCTGCTGAAAGAGGGCAGTTTTATAGTGTTGGTACTGGTCGGGATTTAAGGTGAGCTGGAGCACCCGGCTAGCTTCCTGGAGAGTAACATCCAGTTCTGGAATGGGATAATCAGGTAGCGCCATACTGCAGAGTAAAGCATAAAACATAAAACTTCATAATACATGCTTAAGTTGTGTCATGTGATTTAAAATTGAACAATACCATGTTTGTATGATTACACTCGGGAGCATTTTCTCAGGGTACATGAAACACATTACTTTTTTTGTCATGTGCATTTCAATAATTTCATTAGTGGCTTAATAAATTGGCTTATTTCAAGCGCAAAAGACTTAGTGTGATTTAGTAATGTACTTTAACTGTACAAGAATTTTACCACTATAACGTACCTGATTACTTAATGACATTGACACATTGCAAACGTACAGATACTCAAAATTAACTTCTGTCAAGTTACCTTTAGGTCATGTGGACATAATGAGTATAGCATGCTATCTGTATAGGCAGTCGTCATGGGAATATGTCTCATGCTGCATGTTCCTAATTTGATTTTGTCTGATTTAATCACGCTCTGTCTCTTTTTGTAACTTGTGTAATGCTGTCTTTCTTTTTTTCCATTTATGGTCTCTGGTGACTTGGAAGTTCACTCAAGGTGGCATTGATCATGTAATTTCATTGATTACTACTGAATTCATTCACTTTAAAACTGGAACAACAGCCATGTAAGTACGATTTTGAGACTGCTGTATCTTTTGCAAGAAAATCTAAATTTACATACACACTTATTCAATAAAGTATTATAGAATATTTTTACACAATTAATTGCCTGTAAAACATGGTATTGTCCTGCTTAAAACAGTTTAAACCACCATAAACCAGGCCAGGCTGTGAGACTAACTTAAACCATCTCTTTTGGGTTTTTTTTTGGTCTCTTTTTATTTTTATTTTTTGCAAGAACTTTTTACATACTGATTTGACATTCTTATACTGTGCATGTAGGATTTTTCCTCCCAGAATGTATCAAAATGTTTTTGATAGGCTATATTTGCATAACTTAACTTTATATTGCAAGTAAATTGATGTCTATATTTTCTGGGGGTAAAAGAGAAAAAAACAGAAAAGAAAGTAAAACACAATCTCACAATGCCATAATTACACAATTGTGAGGGCAAATAAATTAGCTTCCAGATTGAGCTTCCAACTGCCATTATGTATTGATTTAAAACATGTATATATATATATATATATATATGAAGAGTTCAGATGCAAAAGCCTCTAAATGCCATTTTAAATTTTCTTCGTTAATGATGATTTTTATCAAACTTGTATATTTAAGTTCAGTAATTTTACTTAAATGGCAATGATAATTACCTATTAATTGTTATTTAAGTGAAATTACTGAACTTAAATATACAAGTTTAATAAAAATCATCATTAAAGAAGAAAATTTCAAATGGCATTTAGAGGCTTTTGCATCTGAACTCTTCATATATATATATATATATATATATATATATATATATATTAGCGCATTAGTTTGGTAGTACTACACTAACAAACTAATGCACATGGCTAGTGGTTTAAAGTTTGGTTGACATTAATTCAGTGAAAACTTGACTACTTGATTTGAATGCCTCTTTCTGATTTTAAGTACAAAGTTATTTAAAGTTTTTCAACAAACTTTTGTATTTTAATGTCAGAAAAGAAACATTAAGCTAAAAACAAAACAAAAAAATATATATAAGCATTCAACTCACCTCAGAGCAGTAAAGACTTCCAAAGTATATGTCGTCTAGTCAATGCGATGAGAGCTAGAGTGCAACAACCTTTTGTTGCAGTGAACAAACAAGAAGAGGACTGTAATCTGAACCTAGTGATTCCAATTAAGGAATTTAATTTCCTATCTCCCAATAGACGTGCAGTATAACAGTAAGACTGTCACACTGACATTCCTTTTCTTTAAGAGTATAAGCCTTATTTATTGTTTCTACAAATGAACAACATTTTTGATACTACATTTTTATTCTAAACTCTTGCAGAAGCCACTTATTTTAGTCTAAATATTAATTGTCTAAGTCTACATAAATTGACCTTTCTTGATTTTCTGTGTGGAAGCTGCATTTGATCCTTATTGGTATGCTCTGAAAAACATATTTATACCGCTATTGTACAGGGGTATTGATTTGTTGTGTGGTGTTATATTTTTTGTTATGCTTTTTATGATTGTTGAGCACTTTGAGCTATAAAGTTGTTTAAAAGTGCTTTATAAATAGAGGAAATGAAACAAATTAAATGGAACCGATAGTCTTGTTCTATCTTTCACTCTGTGAGATTATTCATCTGAAGTCTAATGTTCTTTCTGCATTCACATCCTTCCGTCATTCAGAATAACCTTCAAAATGTGATTAGACTTGAAGTTGAATTAGCTCAGTATTGCTTTATAATCGTATCAATAAGTTTTAGTATATGACAGTAATCTGGACATTTGGATAACTTTTGCTCTCTGTAATCATGGTTGTATGTAAAGGACATTGAAGTTTCATTATCTCATTTAAAGACATCAGATGGTAGAAGAAGGATGAGGAGTTCCTTAATAGACATGGACACCTAAAAAATATCATGTGATGTGCTGTGTGGTGATGATTTTTGTTTCCCGTAAGCTAAACAAAGAATGTATTGAGTGAGATATCTTGTGTCTCACGTGAGAAAGGGCAAATTATTTTTAGTGAAATTGCAGGTGCTCTTTGTTATCAGATATCCAGATTATGAACAATGTTTAACTGTGACATTCAGGCTGAACATGTCCTGATCAGACAGACCTTGAAAAAGTGTATGATACGTATGATGTAGCCTTACTTCCTGTATAAATGTTTCTTGATTGGGTTCCTGGGTGTTTCACTTTTGGCCCTGTGAATTGTTATGATTCTTAAAACACACTTTCACTATTTTTTATTACTTGTATTTTATTTATTTATTTTTAATATGGGTAAAATGTGGTGTCTGTATAATACACAATTAATAACAATAACTGTATAATAACAATTTCATAATTTCAGTACATATTAGATTCTTTATTCAAAACAGCATTTTACATTATATATATATATATATATATATATATATATGTATATCCGATCAAGAAAGAATGATTCTGACCTTAAGTTTTATCAAAAGTTATGGTTTCAAACAATCATGCTCAAAGACAAAATATAAGATTTGATGTGTGAAAAAAGTAAAAAAAGGTAAATATCACAAATATTTTTCTAAAAAGTAAAAGCTAAATTTGATATTACATTGTGGATGTAAATGGACTTGGACTTAATGCAGGTAACCCAATGCACAGGAAAATGGTGACCTGAGAATACATTTAAATTTAAATTTATGATTATAAAGCTGAAAATACAGATTTTTTTAGATGAATATGCATGCACTGACTAAATTTTTAAAAATCTAAACATTATCAAAAATAATGTAGGCCACTTTTTACTCGTTAACATAATGGCATTATCAGGACTCACATATTCCTCCATTGCATTATTATATATTATATTTATCATTAAATATAGTAGATTAATGTAGTATATAATATCTATAATTTAACATTATATAATATCTATATTATATGATTTCTTTATATAATGATTTCTAACATTATACAATATCTAGCCTATAATTACTATTTTCATAGTAGAGGTTCATATAGTCTGGAAAGAGGTCAAATAAAAGCCATTAAAGGCATTTTAAAGGCATTTCAAAGAAGTATCATTTTATAAACCCTGATGCATTGAAAAAACGCCAGAAATATACTGGTAATACTAACTAAATAGTCAGCAGCACACTTGTGGCTGTTTTTTGAGCCACGGCCCATTTACAAACTTGTTCCAATAACCCCGGAAGTAGTCAATTATATTCTTCTTCCGGAGCGGCATTGGTCGACCCTTTACCGAAGGCTGTCTGGTCTCCCCCACCCTTGCCAAGCTAAACATTCATTTCTGTCTAATTCAAACGTGAGTAAAAGTTTCCATTGGCTCCGAATATGAGTTTTTTAAACATTTGAGAACTCGGAGGTTGAGCTTATAGACATATTTTCACAGTTAAAGAAGGTCACTGGAGATAAGGCTAGCTAACGGTAGCATGCAAAATAACTGCAGCTGTGCTTGCAAACGTCTCATTTTCATACACATTCTCCAGAACTGCTTGCCATAGAGCGTGTTAATACTATTCAAAAGGTTATTTATATTTTTTCCTAATAATATACCTAAATATGTGTGGAACGGGCTTCATTGCACTGGAAATTGTAGTATTTATAAATGCGATGGTTTAGTCGGCTTACTCGGGTATCAATCAAAGCATTTATAAATCCGGCATGTATTTTAAAAATCCTCAACATTAATTATGATAACTAGTGCTCAGACACTGCACAGTTCATTACAGGGTCATATAACTAACAGAAAACGCACGTGACAGCATTGGTCTGCTACTCTGCTTTTATTTGTTTTGAATGAATGAATGAAAGAGAGAGCGCTTAATTGTTGTGATTTGAATGCGGTTTGGTTGTGTCAGCTGTTTATTGAAGAAATATTTGCATTATGACCGCAGTTACCACAGTACTTGTGTGTTCAAGGTCCTGTTGTCATCCATTCAAAAGGTGGTTTTAAAGTCACCATGAAATTGAATTGAAAATTTTTTATGGAACATTGTAGTTATTATGACTTACTTATCCGTGCACATCATTATTTTATTAAATTCATGTGCCCTTATTTTTTAATCAAAATCACTTTCACTACCTTTTGCAGCAACATCTTAAATTCTCTGATGATGTGTTTACTGGTGTAAGGGGAAAACTGTCATGATGACATCATCACAGCAATAGCAATTGGTGCATTCAAGTAATCTCGTAAAGATCGTATTTACGAGTTAAACGCACATTAACACAATGCCGTAAATAGGAATGTGAAGCTCTGGGTTTTCTTGAAAGCCCCTATTGTCAGGCTTTTCTATCGACAGCGAAGTAAGCTATTTGTCTTCACAGACCACGATGGTATTATAACATAACAATGTAATTTGTAGAGATAAAGTTTAATCAAAAACATAAAAAAGCAAAGCACACCGAATGCACATTTATTTGTTCTTCATTTTCTAGAACTTTTTGTGTAATTAAGAGAAAATACACTGCTATCTTACTCCGATGAAAGTGACTTGAACGAAGCTGCCATCATAAATACAAGCTTCCCAGCAGGATTTGAATGCACCAAAAGTTCAACCATCCAATTAAGCCCAGCTCTACAGGTTTTCCTGTTCGAGAAGTAAAGAAAGACTAATGCAACTTCCATTTAACACTGATTTTAAAGTGTCCATCTTCCAGGTGCGTGTGAGACGTCGGTCTCTGCCCGCTCTGAACCCTCCCTGATGGGCGGCTGGTCCCGCAGTGCTGTCCTGCAGCTGTACCGAGCGCTGCTCCGTGCAGGTCAACACCTACAGTACACCGACCGCGACTACTACCGGCGCGCAGTGACCCGAGAGTTCCGCCGCTGTCAGACCCTCAGCGGCCCAGCAGAGAGGGAGGACGCGCTGAAGAGAGGACAGTTCTTCCTCAACAGCAGGCTGGGCGGCTTGGTGTAGAAGTGACCCATCAGCACCAGACAGTCTGACTGCTAGCTGGTAAGATGAGCATTTCTGCATTTGAAACATTGCAGGCAGCTTACAGTTCGGGAGGTGCGTGTATGTCTAAACCACGGTTGTTATCATTTACTAAAAGTGTTAAAAAAAACAATTCTGTTGATTGAAATAAAGCTTAAACAAAATATGAATATTGCCCTGGGAGTTGGCACCTAAATCAAATTAAATTGATGCACTAAACTTTCTCACTGGAAATAAATAAAAGCTCAAATACAAATAAATGAACATAAATAGAAATATTTAAATCCACAAAATCACAACCTGTAGGTATGAATAATTATTGAGGTATATATTTTGTACCGGGAGTTCAAAATACGTAGTTTTATGTTGTGTAAGTTTCCGGCTAACTCACGTTTTTTATTTTGATACATGTAAACCTATTGTAGGAGACTCCAAAGCCTTTACAATAGCATAATAGGGACAGTTTAACAAACTATAATAGTATAAAAATACTAAAATGCCAGTGAATAAAAATAGTTATTGCTTTCATTGTTTTTAACACATCTAAACTTTTGTTTAAACACATACCGTTAACAGTGCTTTAAGATTTTCAGGAGTGTAATATTCATGTTAGAAATACTACAGAAATTAAATGTAAAATAACACTGGATAGTCTTCACTGTATAACTTAAATATCAATCCTTATTAAAGCTACAAAAGTGATTGTCAGGAGCGTTAAGTGATTTTCTTTGTCTTTTTGTTGTTTGATTAACATTAAGGACACAGGAATATTTGGCTGCCTCATGCACTGATATACTGTATAGATACAGTCGGCAACGCGTCATAGTTGGGGGGCGTGGTCGGCATGGGGGAAAGCAGCGCGACCATCCTATGTATGTGAATGACAAAAATGTCATATTGCGAGTCATTTATGCCTGCCGACCGGCAACGGTACATTGCAAAATTAACTGTAATAGGTTATGATTGCCCTTATTTAATTAAAAACTGGGTCAATGACCCAACCAAATGGCCGGAGGTGTCGTTTCCAGACTATTGTTATCTGGTTGAATCTCTAGACATCGCGGAAGCTGCAACACAAGCCTATTACTCAATCAACTTGCGTATAAGTTACTATAAGTCCATAAAACCATGTCACTTACCAATTGTACGTATGCTTCACTCCAAACTATTAATCCTTTTGTAAAACGGTGATCAGTAGTAGTAGCTACGAAGTTGCAGAGGGACTTTGCTGACAGTTATCCGAATTCTCACAGACTGCAGTCTGATAACCTTCAGCTAATAACGCTAATGTGACTGAGACATCCCTTATGAAAAACAACTAAAGGAATCTTGTAGTATTTTAGGACAAAATATTATAGTAACGTGAATACTATATGAATACTATAGTATTTTGGGACATAGCCTAGAAGTATAGAGGTATTAAAGAACATCACAGAAGTATTATACACTACTATAGAATACTAATAGCCATAGGATTACTATAGTTCTTTTTCGTAAGGGATGTAAAGTCAGACAAATCTGGCCCACTGCCTAATACGAGTTAAACATCTACTACTATATCACACGGACCTCTACTCACACAGTAATCTAATAAGATATGATTAATTTTGCCATTTTGTCCTCCTATCCGGTTCTGTATGTATGTAAGAAAGGCTGTAGAACTTCAATTTATAATTTGTTAGTTTATTGGTGGTACAGAAAACGACACAGCAACTCTTCGGCATGATTGTCCCATGTATTTCAATGAGCGCCAAGGCAATGTTTTCCCCCACGGGCTAAATTCACACCACGTGACGGGGCGTTCCCGGGGGCGTTCCCAGACCAACCGACTGTATCTATATGCTCCCAGTTTTCTAGCTTTTCTTAATATATTTTACATTTCATGATTACGAATCCGCCCCTATTGTCTTTCACACTGACCCCGGGCCATCAGGCATTCTTTATTGTTGAGCCCCACCATTTCTCTGTCTAAACTTTTGACCAATAACAACACAAGCTATTGGTTGACATGATGTCATGTGACATTGTGATTCATGTGATGTCATCACTAGGTAAACTGCATATAAGCTCAGCAACTTTTAGTTGATGAAAAAATCAATTTCTTGTCTCTTCTTTTCCTGTTCTCTTGCTCCATCTCAGGGAGGGAAAAGATCGATGGCAGGAGTGAACGGGGATCGGAAGGGGAAGAAAGACGACAATGGGCTTGGCACAGCGATCGACTTTGTGCTCTCTAATGCAAAGCTGGTGCTGGGAGTCGGGGGAGCAGCCATGCTCGGGATCGCCACACTGGCGGTCAAAAGAGTGAGTAGAGGAACATGATGTGATGCTGCACTGTCCTAAGGAATCACATTCCCTGTAATCTCCCCCTGATGTAATGGTACTATATAAACTGTACTTTATCTTCCAGTCTTTCTGAAAGAGCTTTTATTAAACACTAAGCAAGCAGCAAAAAGAGGGAAGAGCAGATAATGTTTATTAACCCTGTCCTTGGTCATTTCATTTGGTCTTAAACACTTTGAGCATCACATTTCAGTGTCTTATTGTTTTATGAATCTCTCGCAATGTAATTCAGCTTTGCAAAGAGTTTGTTATTGAAGGACCCTACCTGTGTTTGAACCTACCTGAAAATAACATGCGGTGCATTTACAAGTTTACAAATCTTGATTTTGAGTCGATTCTCACTTGAACTATAGAACTTTGCCATCTGTGTGAAAACACGTATTCCCAGTGGCGCAATGAGATAAGCAACAGACACCTGACCCAGAGATTGTGGGTTTGAGTCCAGTGTGGGGTAACTTTAATAAAATTGCATATATAACGTTGTGTAATTGGAACCAATAGCTGCGAGCCAAAACTAAACAAACCATTATGTGAGTGGCATGCTGTTTAAAACAACAGAATTGAATGTGTAGCAAATGTTTAACCATATGAATTTGTGCAGTGTTCAAAGGTTGCCAAAAATGGCCATAAGGGGCCATTTGGTTTATAATTGAATTTGGTTTGTCTCAGATGTATGATCGAGCTCTCAGTGCTCCATCCAGTCCCACTAAAGCCGACCCGTCAGGACGGAGAAGCTGGGAGGAGCCAAGCTGGATGGGGTCGTCACAACGGACACTGAACCGTGACATGAAACAGAACGTCAGCCGCTCTCTACAGACGCTCCCTACCTCCTCCAGCTCCTTCAAGCCAGGTAATGTATCTCTGGTGCCTTGCAGACACACCATTCTGTGCTTTTGAATACTTAGGCCATGAGACAACATGTGCTTATCAATTCCCTTTTTTCATATCTATTTTCATAGATTTGAGGAAAGGTCATATTTGTTTTTTGATTTTCATTATCAATTTGAATTAATTTAATTTGTTTATTTACTAAGCCTGGGCCACCATGGACATGGTTTATCCTTTGTTTGTCCTATCCTAAACTGTATGCTTATTGTTTACCAGGCTTGTACATAACGGAGTGTCTTCTCTACTTGCTCAGTGGGTATTTTAACCCTTCCTTAACCAACACACTGTAGGATTCTGTAGCCTGGGCATTAGGGTTGTGATTTAATCATTTTGAGTAGTTGATGAGTTGTCTGAAGAAATTATCAAAGTAAGCATTGGAAATATTCAGAATCTACCTTCAATCTTCAGATTATTCAGAATCTCTTCCTCTCTCATTGTTGAATGACTAGTTCATCGTCCTGTGCTATCTCTCCTCCCTCGTAGTCCAAGCCCAGTATCAATCGGTGTCTGGAAAACTAAAGATTGTGTTGTTTTAGGCTGTGTGTTGTGATAAAGTAGAATCACTCTACCACGTGTTGACCTTTTGAATGTTTAAATATGATCAGTGGCGTTGTGTTTTCTTCTGCTTTTTTAGATTCTTTACATCGTGTTATGGGCCGCGGTGGTGGCGGCTCTGGTAAGGCTGAACTCCAGAGAGCACGGATCCGTCTCTCACTGCAGGAACACCTCTGGGCCTTCTTTAATGAGCGAGTAGCGATCCCCTCAGAAGAGCAGGCCGTAGCTCGTCGTGCCGCGTTGGATATCTGTGCGGAGCTTCGATTCTTCCTCCACGCCAAACTGCCTGATATGCCCCTACGAGAAATGTACCTAAGCGGCAGTCTGTATGACGACCTCCAGGTGAGTGTTATAAGGGGCTTTCGCACCAGAGGAACCTTTTCATAGTTCCTAGAACTAATGGCAGAAGTACCGCCTTTTGGGCAAGTTCACACTGCAGGAACTGGGAACAATTTTAGTTTATTCTAGGAATGCCTTTTGGGGGAATTAAATTAGATCTTACATCAGAATAGGGTTAAAATAGGAACTACCAGTGACGTTAAGTGTACGCTGATTGGCCGAATGTACGTGAAAAACCAGCACCCACCATTTAAAAAAAAGCTGTTTTAGCCTATATATTTACTCCAAAAACTAACTCTACGAACACGGAAAATTAAATAGACCTTTCAACCTTTACACTAAGGAGAAAATCCAACGAAACTTTGGTGGGGACCAAGCGAAACATGATTATGTATTTAAACATGATCATGTAAGCGTGGCTTACATCACTTCAGGGTTCCTACTGGTGCAACCAGGAAAAGGGCCTTACATTTAGATCTCGAGGAACCGCCCTGGTGGCTAGTTCCTATAACTACGCAGTGCAAAAGACCCTATAATTCTGTTCCATAATGATAAGCAGGAATATAGGGAAAACATGGGGTTGGTAAGGCTTTTTTAATGTTTTTTTTACAGACAAAAATTAATATACTAAAAATTTGAATATACTTTAAAATGTATTTTATTCCTGTGATGGAAAGCTGAATTTTTAGCATTATTACTTCAGTCTTCGGTGTCACGTGATCCTTCAGAAATTATTTGAACAAAATGATTGCTCAAGATGCTCAGGAAACATTTAATATCAATGTTTTTTTTTGTTTTTTTTTGTAAAAATATATATTATTAATTATTAGGTGGTGACTGCTGATCACGCCCAGCTGATGGTACCCATGATCCTTGAGAAGAATCTATGGTCCTCCATTCCTGGTGAGGACACCATCATGAACGTTCCTGGCTTCTGGCTGGTTCGTCGGGAAAACCTTGAGTACTTCCCACGTGGAAGCAGTTACTGGGACCGTTGTATTGTGGGTGGTTACCTTTCCCCAAAGAGTGTTCTCGAAGTTTTCGAGAAGCTCGTCGCTGGATCCATCAACTGGCCCGCCATCGGTAGCGTTTTAGATTACGTCATTCGACCCGTGGTCCCATCGGAAACGCTTACGTTAGAAGTGCAATATGAAACGGACCGCTGTCTTTACGTGGACTTCCTCCCGTTGCTCGTTATGGAGGACGGCGTCTCACTGATCGCCAAACCACATCGTTTGGCTGCCGAACGGCACGAGAACCTGTGGAGGCAAAGTTTTCGCGTGGCGGAAACATCAAAGTTACGTGCCCTTGATCAGGAAGATGGCGGGTGCCGTTGCGCATGTCTTAAAGTTGTTAAAGCCGTGTGTAAACTGAATCCAGCGCTAGCACGATTAAACGCAAGCCAGCTCACTAACGCAATCCTTCTCCTGAGCGAACAGGAGGGCGATTGGACTCAAGAAGCACTCGCCGACCGTTTCATGCAGGTGCTTCGTGCACTAGTGGGACACCTAGAGGCTGGGAGGCTACCCTGCATCCTAAATCTCAAAGTCAATCTGTTCTGTGAGCTAACGCCACAGGAAATAGACGAACTGGGATACACGCTCTACTGCGCGTTGTCCGACCCAGAAAGCCTTTTGAGAACTGTTTAACAACTCCTCCACACATACACTACCACTGTTTGTTTGAGTTGATACACAAACCAAAATAATGGCTATGTTTTCATTTGTGTTCTGAGTAGTTGGTAACCTCAATTGTTTTTTAATTATACCATCATCATTTATTTTCAGGTACAACAAACTCATCTGTTAGTCATATTTTATATATGGCCTATCACAAATCATTTAGGTGTTTTTGTCTTTCCTGATTCACAGTGAATTGGTGTGAAGATTATATCGTCTATATGTGATATTCTTATAAATTCAGGCACAGTCATCTCATATGTGTCCGTTAATGCACAAAATGCATTGAGATTTCATGGAGGTAATTTGGCATGTTACAGTGATACATCAATTTTTTTATGTTCCCCAGTTGTTGTTGTTTTATGTGGAACATAGTTCAGTATTTCCTTGATTTGTTCATAAACACAACAAAAGATGATTTCTGTCCATTATTCAAAATCAATTGCAAAACAATATTTTTTCTTGTTAGTTTGTGCCAATAAAATATGTAGATTACCTGTACGACAAGCAGTGCTACTGGAGAAATGTTATGTACGGCGTTTTATTTGTTGGTGATGTAGCATACATTGCTTTTCTTCACACTCTTTCAAGGGTCGCTTATAGAAATCTGATGCTATAGAAATAATTGAAACGGGTTATTACACACTGCTGAAACCAGAAGTGAATCAAAAGATATATTTAAACTCCTTTAAAATGGCTAAACAAAGAGTAGATGTGATTTTTTTTATTGTATTGAAGCTGCCCATACAGACCTCCTTATTTCTGTAGAATCATTTAAAAGGTTTAGGAAAACAGAAATTGAAGGATGTTACCCCTCTTGTCTATATTGTATGAGGATGTATGGGTTAAAAAGAGTGTTTGAATGAACCGAAGGACAGTGTGTGCAAAAGATATACAAGATGATAATAAAACAGACTTCATAGAGACATTTTCGTATTTTTGTATTGATTGTACAGATGTAACCAAAACTATTTATGTAATATCTTAAGATCATACTTTGTGCTTGGAGAGACATCTGATGGAACAAAATATAAAATAGGCTATGTTTCTGCTATGAAATGCCAAAACTCAAAAGATCATGTGTATTGAAGCATTTATTTTGCTTGCATAAAAACCGGAACACCTGTGTCAACCTGTGTGATGTAGACACTTACCTAGCGAATGATATGAAAGCAGCACCGAACCCAAAGTAGATCTGCTTGTGGAGTTCAGCTTGGCCTAGTACTTTGCATGTGATGCGTCTTAATTTCCTGGTGATTATTATTTTTACCAAACAGCACTTTGTATCATTTGTTCTGTAAGAGTTGTGCCTCTGGTCTCTGTACTGCAATAGAGAGCAAAGGATGGCAAGAAAATTAAATAAAATGGAGAGAAACTGTATTACAGTGTTATTGTGAATTATTTGTGACTCGGTACATTTATGACTCTAACAGCTGATATATAACATAGTGCAAAAGTATGTTGTTGTTTTTTTTTGGAAAGATATTAATACTTTAATGCAGTAAGGTTACATTAAATTGTTCAAAAGTAACAGTTAAGACATTTATAATATTACAATAGATTTTTACTTCAAATAAATGCTGTTATTTTGAGGGACAATGCATCAAAATTTCTACAAATATTAAGCAGCAAATCATCATAAGAATGATTTCTGAAGGATCATGTGACACTGAAGACTGGAGCAATGATGCTGAAAATTCAGCTTTGACATCACAGGAAGAAATTATATTTTAAAATATTGTAAAATTGAAAATGTTATATAAAATTCTATTTTACTATAAAACTGTTTTAACGGCATGTTTTATTTAAAAAATGAGAAAAAGAGTTATTTCAAAAACATTTAAAAATCTACTAACGTGAGTAGTTCACTTTTCAAAAAACGTATGCTGATTATTTACTCACCCCCATGTCATCCAAGAAGTTCATGTCATTCTTTCTTCAGTCGAAAAGAAATTAAGGTTATTTTAAGAAAACATTCCAGCATTTTTTTTCCATATAATGCACTTTACTGGTAACCAAACGGTCAAGGTCCAAAAGACAGTGCAAACTGCTCAAAGGGCTTTAAACGACACCAGACGACGAATAAGGGTCACCAGACGACGAATAAGGATCAAGTAAATTACAAAGTTTAAGTTTCATAAGCTCAAATGCTCGCCTTGCTCTGTACTGCTATATGAACCTGCGTGACTCTCCTGTTTGAACCGTTTGAACTCGTTCATCAAAATGAACGAATCTTTTTTCCGAGTCAATCCGTTCGTTGAATGAACCAAATTACTCGGGAAAAAGATTCGTTCATTTTGAGTCACAAACATGCGTCACAGAACAGAGCACGACGACCATTTGTGCTTATAAAACTTAAACTTGGTTATTTATTTATTAAATGAGGGATCGTTTCGTTTGATAAGACCCTTATTCATTGCCTGGAATCGTTTAAAGTCCTTTGAACAGTTTGTAGCTTGTACTGAAAGTGTCGTTTGGACCTTGATTCGTTTGGTTCCCACTGAAGTGCATTATATGGAGAAAACTGGAATGTTTTCATCAAAAACCTTAATTTCTTTTCGACTGAAGACAGAATGTCGACATGGACATCTTGGATGACATGGGGGTGAGTAAATTATCAGCAAAAGTTTTTTTCAAAATTGAACTAATCCTTTAACAGTAAGTTAGTGTATTTGCATTGTTCACATACAGTTTATATGACTTCGAAATTAGATCTGTTGAAGGGAAATTAAATTAACTAAAGTGGTATGACAGAAGTTCAGCCAAAGGTAAATATTATAATCAACATTTGTTGCAGTTCTGTTCATGTTAGATGCAATTGAAATGGTGGCACAGCTGTCTAATGTTGTCATATAAATCATGTGATAGACATTTTGCAACATCTGTGGAAACACTAAAGATGACCGATACCATAAACAGTTTGAGGGTTTAATAATCGCTGTATGCAGAACCCATTTCTTTTTCTGTAGGGTTTGAGGTGTAGTCAGTGAAATCAGAAATTCCTGCTTACAAATTGGATTACACAGTATATAAAGGAACTTCTAGAAATAAAGATCTGGAAAACACCTTTGCTTGTACTGATTTTGCCCACATTGGATTCAACAAATCTCTAAATACTAAAACCCCCATCAGTCTAGTAGTTTCATTTTCAGACAACTCTTTTTTTTTTGAGAATGGCCTCTTTATGACATTTCCCTGTGTATTCACGAGACATTAAATTTCTAAAAGTTTTCAATGTAAATAAACTGTTGATAGGCATTGAAATACAATGCTTGAGCTTGAACCCAAACCAAACATGTGACTACAAACAAAACTTTATTTAGCTCCAGGTTTGGAAGAACTTTTGCTACAATTTCTTGTTCAATGATTAGACAGTCATTAACAAACCAAGCAGTCTTGGTCAGCTTTAACAGAAAGTTCACTTCAGTTTGGTAAACCGAGTAAAAATACACCAGTGTTGTTAACATTATCAAAATGATACACACGCATGCAGAAGTCAACTGACAAAAGAAAACTCAAATACAAAAGTTACAAAACTAGAAATCAACCAGCCATGTAATCAGTCTTCATTAAATGTACGATTAACAGCTAACATATCAAATAAAAATGCATAGTTTAACTCAATATATTGAAACTTAGTGCAAAATAAAAACACAAGGCAGCGTTCGAGGGCAAGTACAGAGAAACCCTAGCTAAACAAGTTTTAATCTTGAAAATGTATCCTGGCACTTCAGGCATTTGTTTGATTTGCTTATGTCAATGTTGCATATTTTAACTTGCAATAAATTTACCAACTTCGAACAAAAGTGGTTTTTGTATAGCTAATGGTCCATTAGATCCAGTTCAATAGCATAATGTCATTCACACTCTGTTCACTTGGCAGGAGCAAAGCCAACGCGGTCCGCTTCCCTGTCAAACACAGTGTAGTAGCGGCCAATGAACACATCTCCCAGAATCCACAGCGGCCCGGCGGGAGGCGGGATATCCATAGCCATAAAGCCAGACAGACAAACACTCGCACCCATATGAGTCACCTGAGAAGAGATAGAAATAAGGTAAAATGAATTCAAAACAGTTGGGTTCTGGAAGTAAAAACTCAAAACTAAAACAAATCCATTTTCAGATTGATTTTTGAAGAAAAACCTTTTGAACGAAAAGATGAGCTACGAGGTTGTTGTTAATCAATGGTATTAGCTTCTGCTGAAGCCATCAGCCCACTTTATTCCAGTTTATTTTTAAATAAATATATTTTATTTTTAACAGAGAAATTCCAGTAGTGAAAAACTGCACAACACGATGCTATACAAATAATTACACAGCCAAAAAAAGCAACACGCTGCAAAAGATCTCTTTTATCTCTTATCTCTGCCCACTCTAATGAAGCACTGCAAATGATGTAATCGAGTCAGTCTCTCTATGCTCTCAAAATACTTAAATGTGTGTGTGTGTGTGTTCCGTGACAGATTATGAGGTTCTAGATTTGAACATGGTACAGAGTTACCATACAATGTGCCTTTCCAACCTCTGTACACTAAAAGGAAACCCTAGCCGTTTCTGTACCTTCAGAACATAGTCCTCTCCAGTTAAGTTGAGCATCTTCCCTCCCAGGCTGAAGGAAACAACAGGAAGTGATGGAATCTTCTTACAGTCAATCCAGTACTACAAAGGAAACACGTGGAAATAATTACATTACGACTTCCTCACTTTACGCTAAAATAATTAAAAATATTACGCTGTAAATGTAAAAAAAAAAAGTTTATAAATTTATTTAACAAAAAAAGCTTGAATTGTTCTGCTTCCAACCGCTAGTGTATTTTGATCACACTGCACAACAATGTTTTTCTTTTAAAAAAAAAAGTGAATGAAAAATGAAATTTATGATTAAAACAAGACTAAATATCTGCCAATGGGCTGTGAAAAAAACAACTTAATTAAAAAGGCAAGTTTGGCTAACTCATTGGGAGATGTACATTCTTGTTCAATGCAAAAAAAAAAAAATCACTTAATGGGATAGTTCACACAAATATTGTGTCTTCATTTATACAGATTTGGAACAACTTGAGGGCGAGTAAATTTCAAGAAACCAATTTGAAATGATTCAAGCTTTGTGACATGGTGCATTATCCTGCTGGAAGTAGCCATCACAGATGGGTACATGGTGGCCATAAAGGGATGGACATGGTCAGAAACAATGCTGAGGTAGGCCGTGGCATTTAAACAATGCCCAATTGGCACTAAGGAGCCTAAAGTGTGTCAAGAAAACATCCCCCACACCATTACACCACCACCACCAGCCTGCACAGTGGTAACAAGGCATGATGGCTCTATGTTCTCATTCTGTTTACGCCAAATTCTGACTCTACCATCTGAATGTCTCGACAGAAATCGAGACTCATCAGACCAGGCAACATTTTTCCAGTCTTCAACTGCACAAAAAAGCACTTAAAGGTATAGTTCACACAAAAATTGTGTCATAAAATTTATACAGATTTGGAACAACTTGAGGGCGAGTAAATTTCTTTGTTCTGTTGAAAACAAAGGAAGATATTTTGAAGAATGTGAGAAACTGAAGGGTTCTGGGTATTTGTTTTCCTATGGAAGTCAATGGTGCCCCAAAGTGTCCTGGTTATTACCTTTCTTTAAAATAACTTCCTTTGTGTTCAGCAAACCAGAGAAATGTATACAGGTTTGGAACAACTTGAGGGTAAGTAAATTAATTTTAGGTGAACTACCCCTTTTAGTTTGTTAACATTTTCAAGAGTTCTTTTTACACTTACATCAAGTAAATGCATCTCAATTCAAAGATTTTTAGATATTTATATTGGAAAACAGGACCATGTTTTGCAATGCACTTTAATGCAATTTAAGACTTCAACTCTGATTCAAGCCCTTTATTAGCAAATTAATTAAAACCAGCAGAAACCCTGTATTTTTGTTATTTTAGTTCTCCTCACCTCTCCCATAAGCAGTGGTATGGCTCCGATAGCTTTCTGCAGGGCCCGCACCTCTTGAACCGGCCCTGTGATCAATGATGTTCCCGTGTCAACAATTGCCTGGCATCCACTTTTGCACAGAGTAAGAGTGCCACCTACCTGAACCCTGTAGGAAAATGACCAATATATGCAACAAGTTATTATTACAAATAGATTTTGTCTCAGTTTTCAACAGTCATAGAAACTGAACCCCAAATCAATCAAGTCTCTGTCTAAAACGAGGGCTAATCCTTGAGCAGAATCCTTGAAAAGCCACAGTCTTGGCTTTTGAAACAGTAATGGTGATGACATACTCATCCATCTTTATCTGCCAGTAGGCTTTTCGCGTAACATTGACGTAATGCAGATCACCGTCGAAATACTGGTTGTCAAAACCTCCCAGCATAAGCTCACCTCCAACCTCACCTGCAGGGTCCCTGCACACAACATTTATTAATAAAATTTAGCGTGTTCATTTAGCCAACTTTTAGGTTATTCACACTTTATAAAAGACATTTCGTTGCTACAATGTAGGCAAAACCTGATGCACACACACATGTTTGTCACAAATCATTCAGTTGGAAAAAAATAGGCTTTTTATACAGACAGAACAATCAACTATTGTGTGATAAATTAGCCATAACATGCATGTGCGTTTTGGAAAGCAAGGAGGGGGTGGCACTGCTATGCAAGCAGTAATGAGTCATGCGTTACCGTTTAACTCAAGAATAAATACAATTCTTTCATGCTTAAGGTCAAACTATCAGTCTACATTTGTATTCACATTCTTCAACATTATAAAACTGAAATGGAGAAGAAAATAGAGGAACCTCGTAACAAGGTCATTTCCCAGTTCCTTCCAAAACTCTCCCATGTCAATATTAAATGTCCACCGATTGGCTAAAAGAATCTAAAAAAAAATAAGTATAATGAAACTTTAAAAGGAATAACAGGAGCTAAAAGCAGAATCAAGCCTTACCGGTTGATATAGAAAGAGAAGATATTCCGGGGTAGGATTTTGGCAGCCATGGCTGTGTCAAACACCGGCGTAATCCCATCTACAGAAATGGCGGGGTATGCCATGCCCAGGACGCCATCAAAACGTGCCACCACAAACACAATCCCAGGCTGTTTAACCGCCTCGGCAAACTGCTGGCCTGGCACCTTCAGCCCTGCCAACTACAAGACAGAAGCGAATGAGAGGCCGTCATGTTGATGCATCAATTATTGTTGTTATCTTTAACTATTAAAAAGTGATTTCGTTATTTAGAATCAAGCTGAAATAAAAAACAAATTCTACACTGCTGGTAAAAACTGTTCTAAAATGTAATTTATTCTTGTGATGCAAAAGTTGAATTTTTCAGCATCATTACTCTCCAGTCTTCAGTGTCACATTATCCTTCTGTAATCATTCTAATATGATGATTTGATGATCAAGAAACGTTTCATTAAAATACACAATATAACTGTTTTACTGTATTTTTGATCAAATACATTCGGTGTAGACTCGGTGAGCGAAGAGACTTCTTTAAGAAAATAAAACAAAATAAAAAATAATAATATAGTATTATATAATAATAATAATAATAATAAAATAAAATATTTATTTTTAAACTTTTGACCAACAGTGTAAATTTTAGATGAAAAAAAAAATCAACTTGAATGAAAAATAAAAGAGCTTTAAGTGCTAAAATTGCTAAATCAAAAAAATAAATAAAAATCAAAATATGAATGACAAAAACATTCAAATAAAAACTGAAAATATAAAAATAAAGCCAAGTTAATAAATATATAACCAATACTAAAATAAGACTAGCATCAGCAACTAAAATGTTATTGCTTCGTTTCTAAACAAGTTCAAAAGAACTTAAATTTCTAACACAAAGCTTTCAGATTTCTGTGAAGACCTGTAATATAGTATGGTATATAGTGGGTCAGTTTTATGACGATTTTACAGCTTTCATGACAGGTTACGGTAGTCTTTACTCACAGTGACAGTATCCTGACTGATGAAGCCAGAAAGACTCCCTCTGCCATACCGGATCGCGAACTCTGTGCCATTCTGAACATACGTGCTTGACTTCTTAGAGTTGTAGCGATGGTGCAACCCTGATAGACAGCAAGAGTAAAAGCACAAAGTTACTAAAGAAAACAAAAATCAAATACAATCATTCAAAACATCACTCACAGCATGCTATGTCCAGGAAGGAGCAATGGATAGATGGAACCCAGAGGTTGGATGATCCAGTGTCAAACAGCACAGTGAAGTCCTGAGGAGGGGTACCAATGCTGATCACTCCAAAATACTGGGACTGAAGAGGGAGAAAGGACAACCAGACTAATTATATTCTATGCACAAGAACCAAAATCATAAAACTAGGGATGGAATACAAAGTTCTCTTACATCCATGAAGTTGGTGAGTTTCTCTACAGGTGGTGGTAGTGTTGTTGTCGGTGTTGCTGTGGTTCTAGTGGTGATTGGAAAGTTGACTTTGGAGGTTTTCTCTCTGGCCAAGGACTTGATCTCCTCAATAGTCTTCCCATTGTCTGCCAACATGCGGCGCACAGTGCGTGTCTTGTGCAGAGGAATTCTAGAGACACAGCAGTGATAAAGCAATAAAGCACCTGAGTGTGTGCACCTGCTTCAAGTCTTTATTGCATCTATAAAACAGTCACAATATGATTTTCCAAAGAGAGTGTTTCTAGTGCTTGTACATGCAACCTAATGAAAACCTTTCCAGAAGGTTATTTATATAACTTATTTTATAGAGAACCAGAGCATTCCCTGCTGGTTATTTTTAGATTTTGTTTATGCTGAAATGTGCCATTTTTCATAAACCTAATATTTTACAGATAGAGTTTAGTAAACCTGGATTACATCAGTACAATAAAATGTATACAATGGAAACATAAATGAGGCTAACAATTCCTAAAATCGCGCGTTCTGCAGTTTTTTAAGCACAAGTTGCCGTATGAACCGAATGGACAAAATACCTGCCAACAGGAGGTTTATTTAATTGTGTGTCGAGTTGTGTGGAGCAGGTTATGTTCAGGTTCAGACGGAGAGGTGTCTGGCAATACTTTCATGCCCTGAAAGTTATCTTTTCGGAATGAAACCGATAGTTGAGGTTATCCGCTTACTCACACTTAAACGTACCTAACCCAGGTAATGTTAGGCCTATATAACCTGCTATAATACCCAGTTCACACAGTTACTGTTATACTAACTTTTTAGCCATACTCGGTGATGTGAGTTCAACTTCCTGATCGAAAGCACAAGTTGCTATATTTATGCTATAAATAGCTTTTACACAAAATGTCCTGACTGTTTGCAGTCAGACTAAACTGAAGAAATATAATGCTTCGGATCTGTTCATTGAAGATTCAACTTTATTACAATAGCCTACAGATAAACTTATATGCGCACAGTCACAATGTGACTGTTTACGTTTTTTGTATCAAACTCTTTCGTGAATAGTTAGCCTACATATAGGTGTATAGCCTAAATATGTGCAGGACGCGCATACATCGATAAAAAAATATATAAATTATGAATTAGCCTACCTGATTATTGCTTGGCTGTCCTCAATTAACAGCCAAATTAAAAACGCGAAAAGGTGAAAGCGATTCATTCTCTGATCTTTAAAATAAACGAATAGTTTAACTTCAGATCTGAAACAAATTCAATAGTGATGTACGCTTTCCACCGCCGTCCCTAGTGCGCAACTTATCTGCAAGTTGCCTGCCTTTCGTAGAACTTCGTGCAAGTTCGGGGAGTTCGTTCTCCTTAAGCCTGATTGGCTAACAGCATTCATATAACTCTACCATTGGGTAAAAGAAAAATCAATCAATTTCTTCAATTTCACACACCCGCGACCACTTCCTCAACTGACTGCCTGCTGAAATGTGGTGTAACTGGTTTTACAATTTCGAAAGCATAGGCTTCCTATGCTTTTAGACAAATATTTCATCTTGGTTTCCAATCGAAGTAAGATAATGTAGGGTAAATCTTGACACTCTTTCGAAATTACTGCAATAACCAACGGAGGAAGTGAAGTAGCCTAACCAACAAAACCTAAACCAGAGAGATTTTGTTCCCCTATTAATTGTAGAAATGATCTCTAATGACGCTACTACAAACAAACTCTTTTTCTTTCTTTTTTCTTTTAAAGACTTGACTTTTAAGGGCCCTGTTGGTAGATGACAGAACTAGCCTACACCATTTTACGGGCAACAACAACAATAGTAACAGGGCTAATCCATTATGATGGAACTTTTACTTCCTTTTTTATAGAGAGTTTTTAAAAGTGATGGGTGCACATGCCGTAATCCAGTTAGGCTAATTGGTCAACAATTTTACTGTAAAAAAATATATTTTAGAGTAGCTATATAATTTGCGGTCAACTAAAATAATTATGAAGACATAATAAATAGGCTATGCTTATATTATTTAGTCAGTCGTCCAATAGATGATCATTCATTACGTTTTGACACTGACGTCTGCGTTTCTCCGACGCGCCGCCTCTTCTCTCCTCTTTTGCGCTCATCCCACTGACTGAACCCAACGCTTTCTATTTATCGATCTATCACAGTGGGCCATTGCAATGCATAGATGCAGGTTTTGCGTCGTGTTTAGTTGTAAGTTGAAAAGCCTGTAATGGAATTTAACACAAGAAATTTTTTTACTCATCACTGTCAAGTTCAGAAGGGCTTGAGTTTGAAGTTGATCAGCTACTGATCCCATAACTTTTACCATCTTGTAGCTACATAACTCGAAAGGATTTAGGAAAAATCACTAAGCAAGTGTTTTATTATCAGAGGTGAGCTTTTTTTCTTCCTCATTTATCTTTACATCTTTGAAATAATAATTTACAAATTAATATCAGTCCAATTAAAATGATCTAATATGTTGTTCAAACATTCTACAATTTAAAAATAAGTATAAACAGAAGATACTTAATTTATATAAAGATGAATGTGAAAATTGATAAAATTATAACAACGTTATTTTTTGTTGTTAGATTTGTCATTATTGCATCATTGTTGTTTTTTCTTGTTTAGTGTTGTGTAAGCAGAATTAGTATTAATAATAATAAATAAATAAAATAAAAATAAACAAAGAGAAAAAATGTGCCATAAAGGAAAGTAGATTAGGTCTATATCTGGTTTGGGATATTTTCTATTTTTTTTTTCATATCGGTGAGGCCATCTCATTTGTATTTTTTTTTTTTATTGTAAGAATGGGGTAACATTAGGGGTTTATCCGATTTTTTTCTTCATCCTACTTCTATTCTTCTTGTCATAGAATGTACTTTTGTTGTGTTCGTGTTGCATTGCATGAAAAGAGAATACAAAATTAAATTAAATGAAAATGTTTTCCTGAGGAGGTTTGCATTCGGTATGAATTTCCATATGTATAAGATTGAAAAAAAAATGGAAATGAGTAAAACAGTTTTTTGTCTTTCTCCATCTCCATTCATTCACTAAAGGAAATGTGCCACTGCGAAATGTGGTACCACTGTGTTAATTTGAACAGGGCAGAATGGGATCAGAGGTCAAAATGCAAGAATTTATGTTGTTTAAAACATTTTTTTGGTTGAAATAAGAAGAAAACCTGCATAATTGAAAGGACTGTAACACTGTTTGTTCTCGTATGTTTACTGCATTGATCAGGCTACCATTTAAATGTTTGGGGTCAGGAATACTTTACAAAGATGCATTGTGGCAGGACAGATTTTTTAAAATTGTTTAAAAATATATATTTCAAATAAATGCTGTTTTTTTTTTAACTTTCTATTCATCAAAGTGTCCTGAAAAAAGGATTGCAGTTTCCATAAAAAATATTAAGCATCACAACTGTTAAACATTGATAATAAGAAGAAATGTTTCTTGAGCAAATATTAGAATGATTTCTGAAGGATCATTTGACTGAAGACTGGACACATTTATTATATAATACAAGAAGAGGGGTTATAAACCCACCCCCTTCAAAATAATAATCTTTTACAATATCTCAGTTTTTACATCTGTATTTATCAAATAAATGCAGCCTTGGCAAGCATATGTCTTGCAATCAAAAGCATTGATTAACCTTTACTAACCGCAAACATTTGAATGGTAGTGTATTTTTTCATTTTTATAATGAATATATTACTATATATTACTTTGAGGAAATGTCATGCAGACTACGTATAAATAAATGGACAGGCAACATTTTTTTACATGTGAAAGAATAGACCTACTGCACCTGTATAGAAAATGTAAAAAATAACAGCAACATTTAACATGGTACCATCTTGCCAGTGTGTATTTACTCTTTCCATTATGTTCAAATGCAAATCATAATTTTCCATTGCAGCCCTTCAGTTGGAGAAGGCCACTGCCATGATGCTGACAGTCGCATGTCTGCTTCTGTTTCTGATGAGCTCTGTGCCTGCGGGTCAGACTGTGAAGTGTCCAGCCATCTGTGTCTGTGACAACACAAAGCTCACTGTGACGTGCGTAGGGAAGAACCTCTCACACGTTCCACCTACTATAAACGAGGTCAGTGCGACTTTCCACATTCATTGAAGAAACCACATGAAAACCATCATGCTTGTGTTGTGTAAACCATCATTATTTCATTAAATGATCCCTTAGAAGTTTGCTTTTGCAGAAGTTTTCATAGTCTCCACCATCATTCAAATAAAGGAACGATAGAATTCATTCTTTTTATATCTTGCCACCCTGAACTTCCTTTCTAAGGGTAAAAGTTGGTATTTAATAATAATAATAATTCGTTACATTTATATAGCGCTTTTCTGGACACTCAAAGTGCTTTACATAGAAGGGGGGGATCTCCTCAACCACCACCAATGTGCAGCATCCACCTGGATGATGCGACGGCAGCCATATTGCGTCAGAACGCTCACCACACACCAGCTTACTGGTGGAGAGGAGACAGTGAAGAAGCCAATTGGTGTATATATGGGGATGATTAGGAGGCCATGATGGACAGAGGCTACACCCCTACTCTTACGAAAGAGTTTTGTGGTTAATAACTATTCCAATGCCTTTCAAAATAACTTGACTTAACATAATAGTTTAATATGAAAAAAACGGTGGAGTATCCCCAGTAGTGTATTGAACTGGGCTAAGCTAAGTGCTAACAAAGTGTCTTGCGTGCCAGGCATGTATCAACTAGTCTTAGTTTAGGGAATAACATAGTTTAATATGAAAAAAAAAATGGTGGAGTATCCCTTTAAAATGGCCGACTCCCTGATCAGTGCCCTGACTGCTGAATAGGGAGCTGCTTCAGACACACTCTAAACATATCCGTGACACATAAGATCTGTTTGCAACTTTATGAGCATGGGGATCAACATCTTCATATGCAGTATTTGTAATTGTCTTTATCTCAGATCACAGTGAAATTGGACCTGAAGAGGAATAATTTTAGGGAACTGGCTAAAAGTGCTTTCAAACACACCCCCTACTTGACCCAGTTGAACCTGCAGGGATGCAGTATCCATTCTGTACGAGAGGGGGCGTTCAGGGGACTTTCTCGTTTGGTGCAGCTTGACCTCACTAACAACAACATTGACATCCTCTACCAGGTTTGTGCTAGGTTTCTTTCTTTGAGATATGATGAATGGCGCTAGAATCTTTCTAAACCTGACTATTTGTGTGTTTTTTTGTTATTCTCTCTAACCCCTTGTGTAGGAAACATTTGATGGTTTAGCATCATTGAAGCAGTTGTATTTAGACCGGAACCGCATTGAAGAGATCCACCCTGGGGCCTTTGCTGCGTTAAACTCTTTAAACCTGCTCTCCCTCACTCATAACCAGCTGGTGTACCTCCCCAACATGGCATTCCAGGTACACTAGTGTAAAAAATCTTACCAGTCCATCTGAATATATACTGGTTTGGATGGTTGGTTTGAAAGGTTAATGTTATTTCCTTCTGTAGACCATTTTCAATCATTTGAATAATTCCCAAATATCTGTGTCTTCTAGGGAATGTTAAATATCCAGTTGTTGCGTTTGAGTTATAACTCCCTAAATAATCTTGCGACAGAAGCCTTTGCTGGTCTTCTTGCACTTACGCATTTAAACCTGGACCATAATGAACTCCAGTACTTTCCTTCCAAAACCATGACCAGGTAACACCCTCAACCACTGAATTTTATTTTGTTTTGCCACAGAAATTGGCTAACAATATGAAATACTGTTGATGATATTAGATGTACTCTGGTATACTCACTGTTCTCTCTTTTTGTCTCAGATTAGTGGAGTTGACTCATCTAGATCTGAGTTTTAACCCCATGACATATCTGGTGGAGGAGAGCGTGTCAATGCCAAAACTCACACATCTGTCTTTGAACCACATGGCCCTGCATGACCTGTCTGAGTCAGCTCTGTCTCTGTCTCCCTTTATCTCTCAAGTGGACCTGAGCTACAACCAGCTCCCTTACATACAGGCCCTCACAGGGCCCTCGCGGATCACCAGCCTTAACCTCACTGGTAACCATCAATACAGCTTTGTCAATGTTCTCTCAGTATTTACTTTGTTACCACACAAACCACTTCAGTCAATATAATTATTTACTCAACAAACATTTTTGTTATCTTGTCTGTCTGTCTATCTATCTATAAATGTAATTATATGCACTTTTATAATATTATAAATGTAATTTATTGACAATAATAATAATAAAAAAAAATTTTTATCATTTAATATTCAAAATTTATTTATATTTAAACTTTATATATATATATATATATATGTGTGTGTGTGTGTGTGTATAACGTATATATATATATATATATATATATATATATATATACACACACTTACGAAAAGTAACTTAAAAGTAATAATACAATAACTAAATCATTGTTTATATTATTCCTAAATTATTTCCTGAAATATAAGGTGAACATTGGTTCTTTAGAAATGCCACTGAATTAAATATAATAATAATAGTAGTAATAATAATAATTATTATTATTAATTATTTAGTTTAGCTGCATTTCTGAAGAACCACTGCTAAACCATTTCCTTCTCAAACTTTAGGAAACCATTTTGAAAAGCATTTTTTTATTCAAGTTATATTTGGCAATGTTCATACAGCAACAAAATACAGTTTTCAGTTCTGTATTTGAATCCTTAATATGGTTACCTTTAATATAGCCCCTATACTGCATAAACTCTAACCTTTTAATATTCATATTCAAATGGGCTCAACTGGGTGTTTTTTTTTTAAAGTCTCAAAAAACACTGCTTTGGCTTATGTTATTGATTAATTTAAATATCTCATAATTCATAGATTTCAAAATCAGAATGCAAAGTGATCTCTCTCTCTCTCTCTCTCTCTCTCTCTCTCTCTCTCTCTCTCAATCACTGTCCTTCAGGGAACCCCATCAGATGTACATGTTTACTACAAGGGCTGAAGACATGGGCGCTGAGCTCAGGAATTAAGCTCTACGGGGCCTGTGCTTGGCCGCCACACCTCTCAGATGAACCTCTAGAAAATGTTCAAGAACAAGATCTCCGCTGCAGACCACAGCATGAGTTGAAGCTGGATGTGACTGAAGAAGATGGAGTGCGGGAGAAGACCGTGCCAACAGCCAAGCCAAAGAAAAAGATCAAATGCCCAATAAACTGCCAGTGTGAGGTGAGAAAGGTTTGGAGAAGGGTGGAGGGAATCTTAGTTATTTATTAGTAATTTACTAGATTTTTTTTTTATTCTGATCCGTTAGCATAAAAATAAACCTAATCTAATCTACATGGCTCCATCTCACCCCATTTTATGTTCTGCTTACTCTCTCTATCAAGGCTGCAGCTCAGCACGCTACATGTGAGCACCGTGGTCACACTAAAGTGCCCACTGGTTTCGCTAGCAACACTCTTCTGCTTGACATGCGTGGCAACCATTTTCATTATCTACCAAGCAAGAGTTTCCCCGGCATCCCCAAGGTGGTGTCCCTTCATCTGGACGGCTGTAAGATCCATGAGATTGAAGGTGGAGCTTTCCGGGGCATGAAGGGGTTAATGTACCTCTACCTGTCCGACAACCAGCTCTCCTCCCTGGATGCAAAAGCCTTTGAAGGTGCCCATGAGATCATGTACCTTCACCTAGAAGGCAATAAGCTCACTCAGTTTCCTTCTTCAGCTGCACTAGCTCACATTCCCAAACTCCTGGAGCTGCATCTGGAGAGAAACCTCATAGCTAAACTAGAGCCTTCAGGGCTCCTTTCCACAGTTCCTCAGCTGACAGGCCTCTACCTCAACAATAACACCATCACAACCATAGTGCCAAAAGCTCTGGATCCAGCACCCAAGCTGGACCTCCTTCATCTAGGAGACAATGTTCTAACGGAAGTGCCGAGTGATGCCCTAGGCCACGCCCCTCTTTTAACTGAGATCCGCCTCTCAGGGAATCCGATTCGCTGGATCGGGCCAAAAGCATTCCGGGCGGTGGCTGAAAGTCTAAAGCACCTGTACATTGATAACATGGGTATTCAAAAGGTAGAGGAGATGTTGTGCTGTTTTAAATCACAAACTACACACGATTTTTTTTTATTGCATGCATTATTGAATGATAAAGAATCAACAGTTAATCCTTTCTTTTACTAATCTCTGTAATGGACAATGTTCTCTCTCTTTCTTCTTTTGATTTGTGGCTGTAGATGAGCGTGAGGTCTCTGGCAGGGTTTGGTCCTGGTCTGCTGTCTTTGTCTCTGGAAGGGAATCAGTTAGAGGAGATGCCTGACCTTTCACCTCTCACTGGCCTTCAAAACCTCACCCTCAACAAAAATCCGCTAATGTGTGACTGCAAATTGCTACCATTTTATAGGTGAGATGCACACCAATGAAAATTCATATATCTATCTATCTATCAATCCATTTCTGACTGTCTCTCTTCAATTCAGGTGGTTGGAAAATGTGAGTCTGAAGGTTGAGGCTGTGTGTGGTTACCCACCTGAGCTGCGAGGCCAGTCCGTGCAAGAGGCAGTCATCTTTAAGAACTGCTCTAAAGAAAATAATCATTCCTTCAATGAGACCTCCATCCCTACCACAGCTCCTAAACCCAACAAACCCAAACCCATGCAGACCAAAGTAAAGGCCAGACCCATATCATCTGAACCTAATCCTAAACCAACAAAGACCAAATTTACAGCGGCACCTAAGAAAAAGGAGTCTAATGAACTCAAGCCTGTGCAAGCCCTGAAAACATCCAGGCCAAACAAGAAAAAAAGAGGAAGGCAACCAAGGATTAAATTATCAAGGAAATAAGCAATTGGGTTTTTTTTTAATTTAAAATAGCAGCAGTTAATTACTGTTTGGTTGTATTGCTGTTGATTTGGTTCAAAGTAAAGCTAAAGATCACCACTGTATTCTGTGTTTACATCCACTTACCATTATTGTGCAATTTGATTTAGGACAGAACTAAATAAATTTGTTTAATAATCCGAACCATTCCAGCAAAGGCGGTTTAGGCATAGTTTTACTCATAAATATTTGAATTTGAAGAATTTTAAAATTTTTTTTTTAAAAACGATCCAAATAAGGATATATTTAATAATGGGACCATCTGGTTCCATGGTGTAATGGTTAGCACTCTGGACTCTGAATCCAGCGATCCGAGTTCAAATCTCGGTGGAACCTAATGTTTTCCATTTACCCACACAACAGTATAGTCTACTCTACTTTACAATAAATATGTTGAGAATTGCCACATTCGAACATATTAATATTGACAAAATAAGCAGAGGTCTAAAACAATATTGCTTTATGATTAAAACCTATCGCTGATTATTAAACTGAGGAACGAGGAGATCTCAATAACTCTCGCGAGAGAGCAAACTATTAACAAACATGGCGGCTGCGATGGATGTGGACACCCCGAGTGGAGCTAACAGTGGAGCCAGTAAGAAGCGTTTTGAAGTGAAAAAGGTAACGGATTGAGAAGTAAATATTAAGGGTTTATGTTAAGTATGCATACAGTTATTTATTTTAGTCTTCTTAACATTTAAATTCTCCCATAGCGGCGTGTTGATAATCTCCGGTTAGCATTAGCTGCTCTGCTACCTTTTTACATCATCTTCATCCAATAGCTCTTTTTTTATGATTAACAAACAGCTTTTAATATGTCACGAGAATAGGTATACTCTGATATCAAGCAAACACATGTAACGTAATTTGGTCGTCCCTCATTGGAATTCTAGTACGTTAAAATCTGCAACGTAATCCGACAGATTATTAAATCAGGCCACTAGAAATTAAACACAGATGGAAATCACGCAGAAATTAGCGAGTTGCCTACCTAGATAACTTTTTTGTGGAAATTATGGGCGGGTTCCGAAAGTTAAATCGTAGACTTGATGCGATTTGATACTTGCGCCTTCCGTGGATTCAATTCTTCAGATTCAAGCCTTCGTCTGGATATAACGCGTTCTGAATTTATAACAGAGTAGTACCATGCTGTTTTTTTAGTGCAATAAACATGGTAACCATCTAGTGTCATGGTATATATGAAAGTATCATGAAATAAAATAAGATCACAGAATAAGAAAATTAAAATCGCACTATGCTGACTTTAATCCCTCAGAAGTGTGAGATACACTTGCAACTGAAAAAGTTGCATTTACCTTTTATTATTCTGTGGTGGAAACATGCTTCCATTTAAAAAACACAATTTTTAGAAATGCACATATATGGGCCTAAACCAAACTGTCACTGACTCACTGGGGCGTACACAGACTATACGAAAACCTCCAATGAGATTCCAATGAAAAAAAAAAAAAAAACGGACAAAATATTGACACATTTGACGCAATTGTGTTGAGATCTGATTGGCTGAACTGTTTCTCTTGCAGTGGAATGCAGTGGCTCTGTGGGCTTGGGACATTGTGGTGGACAACTGTGCCATTTGTAGAAATCACATTATGGACCTCTGTAAGTATCAACTCCTATTCGGTCCTTGTGCTCTTTTAATCTGATGACATTGTTTGTTATCTCATGGTCATTTACGTCCAGTTCATTTTTAACACCTGTGTTTCCTTCAGGTATAGAGTGTCAGGCCAATCAGGCATCAGCTACATCAGAGGAGTGCACAGTGGCCTGGGGTGTCTGCAATGTGAGTAACACACACACACACACACACACACACACTGCTTGATCTCTAGGTCTGTTCATTTTGGTTCTGACTGTTTGCTTTTGTTTCTGCAGCATGCGTTTCATTTCCACTGTATCTCTCGCTGGCTGAAGACCAGACAGGTGTGTCCCCTGGACAACAGAGAGTGGGAGTTTCAGAAGTAAGTGATTTTGTTTCTTTATTAGAAAGGGGCAGACCGAGGAAGTGTATTGATAGAGAATCCAAGGCGTAAAATAGAAGTTGTGATAGTCTTTTCTTCCCTGTTGACGTATATTCGAGTGAAATGGCTTCTCGAACAAGAGAAACTATGGGAATCAGGAATTGATTGGATGGTTGTGGTTTGCTATTGCTATGATGTCATGTGAGTGACAGGGTGCCCTGGCGTCACGCCAGTGTGAATCCGTTTTTAGCACATATAGATATTAGAAACCATTTACTTATGTTTTCCTCCATTATTAGTATTTTCTAGAACTTTACATTGGAAAGTCTCATTGGTGTTCCTGACATGTTTTGTGGGTTGTACATGTTGCTCTGTTTTCTAGGTATGGCCATTAGCAGCGTCTGGACGACCCAGTGTTTATGCTTCAGATCCAGAATTTGCTTTTCTTTAGCTGTATTTTTGTTTAGATGCCATAATTCTCACCCTGTTAAAGACCGTTTGCTCCACATTGGGATAATTATGCTTGTTTTTTTTTATTTCTGTGCTGTGTACAGCATTCAAAGCTGTAAATTATCAATAAAGTCCCTCTAAACACAGCTCTGTCAGTTGCAACTGCGTCAGATTCTTCGAACACATTACTTAGAGATGTCTATGCTGCTATTTACATGTTGGCTTAATCTAAGATACTTTAAAAGCTTCATGTCTTGTTAAAATAAAAGAATAATGTGATTAGAATTCTCACATTCTAAATATTAATAATTAAAAAAGAATAAATATCTATAAGTGATGGAAGCAGACTCTAGATCAGTGTACAAGTGAAGACACCCTGATATAATTCTGTAAATATTATATACAGTACTACATTATGCTTGTTTTCATATGACGTCACGCCACTGCGTTGCCATGGCGCGAAATGCAAATGGAGGGCAGGAAGTGATTTGTGGCATTTATGCACCAGAGAAATGTGGGCGACGTCATCTTTAGAATATTGTCTTTGAACTTCCGTTTTAGTGGTCGCTCTGTATATTTCTATGGCATCACTGTCGAGGAGTAATTAGCTGGTGAAGTGGATTTACTAATTGTAGAGTTAACAAAAGTTATCATGAGTTTGTTTAGTATAATAAGCATTGTAAAGCATATGCAAATGTAGACCGGGAAATTTTACGAGCAGTTCATTCATAGCAGTTCATGAAAATACAGACCGGAAGTCAAAAGACAACGAGCGGAGCGCTGAAAAGGGGAGGGGTTACATAAGGTCACAAACTCAAAATGCCGGTGTTTTGCGTCGTGCAAGAAATTGAGTGAAAAAACGGCTTGCAAACCTAGATGTCTGCGGTCGGGAGGAGCCGAATGGGAAATGCCTGTGTATGCAGTGATCATTCGTCAAAGGTGAGTTAATACAACTTGTCTGTAGTGGTTATGTTTGTGTAACGTGTAACATTTCCGAACGTTGTAAAGTCAAAGTATGTCTGTAAAACGAGGTATTGCTGATATCTACCGCCTCGATGGCAGGAAAATCTTTCTCAGTTGAAAAATCGCTCCTCTTCATAACGTAAGGATCACGTCCAACCTATGTTCGATTTTTGTTTATATCTTTCTCTTGTAATAGAGTGTAAAGTAGTAAAGTACGGACATCTCGCGCTTCACTCCCTGCCCTCCGTCTGAATTCCGCGCGTCATCATAACCACGTGACTAAAACCCAGCTAATAGACGAATCCGACGAGCGTTCTTGTGTAGGCTGCCATCTTGTGGCGACGCCATTACTGAGCTGTTACACCGGCATAGACATATGCACTGGTATGTAAACAAACCTCGGAGATAAGGTGATAACGCACCCTTGATGACAGCTACAGCCAGGCAGACTTGTTAGGTTGATGATGTTAAACATTGGCCTCCAGTCCAGTCACAGATGAAGGTACAAACGATCTTACAGATTATTTATGAAAATAGCTTGGCAAGCTAGCTAGGCTAACGTTTGCTACCGAGGAAACTAAAAAAAGATCTGACCATTTGGCAACAATAAATAAATAAATAAATGAAATCAAATAAACAATTTCATGTTTTTCATTTGTGTGCATTATTTATCTCATTTTTACATTGCAACGGGCAAGGGTAAGGTAACGTTACAGCTAGAAAGTATACATAATATCGACCAACTACTGTTTTTAAACCATGGAAAGAGGTCAATATAACAGCAGGAGAACAATTATGTCACATAACGTTACATTCAGCTCAGGAAAGCCATTTAATGACCATAGCATGTAAATTGAATAGAAAAAATAACAAGAGAGGAGATTTTGCTGATCACTATATCACATATTTATTATATTTTTTTTACTTATGTCATTAAATAATTGTTATTATACGCGAATGTCCGCGTCTTGTACTCGCCCAGGAAATCTTTGTAAACCGTACGGCTCCAGACAGGGGCAGTCGACCCGGGGTATTCACAATGTTTTCTCTTCAAAATTGAAATTTTACTGCCACCATTGAAACAATTTATAACGGAAACTGTTTACCCACTCGACATTATACAAGGGCTAACGTTGTAACGTTAGTGACAGTCGTAAATCGCGAGCTGTTTATTCCAGTGGACGCAAGTTGCAACTAAAACAATAGAAGGCAATGGGGCAACGCTACCCAGCAACAGCTCAGTAATGGCGCCCGCTTACTTCCGGTAGTTTCGCCGGATTCGTCTATACATTGCATACAAAAAAATATGGATATAAAAAGCCCGTATACTATAAAGATATAGTTTTAAATAATCAAAATTTAAAAGAATAACTGTCTACTGCAACTATGATAACAGCTCAGAGAAGAGATATTGCTGCTGATATAACTTTTAGAACGAGTTTTAATAGTTTAAGACGACTTGTTTGAACAATTGGCTTTATGCCCAGCTGCACTACTTCCTGAACTTCAGCCAGCCCCTTGTTTCCTGTCTGCCATTATTGGCCAAATTGATTAATTCAGGTGTGCCTGATTATTGTTGCCATGACTACTGAGGTCAGGCACACCTGAATTAATCAATTTGGCCAATAATGGCAGACATGAAACAAGGGGCTGGCTGAAGTTCAGGAAGTAGTGCAGCTGGGCATAAAGCCCATTGACATGTATCCTGAAGGCTGTGTAGCCAAAA